TGATACCGTCAGAGTTTGTCTTGCTGACAAAAAGCTACAGTGTTTTCATGAGTTTGAAAGTGTGGTCTGTTTTGTTTGCAGATAATATACTAAGTTTTATGTTGGTTGCTTTGTTTGCTGCATTCCTTTTTAAGCATGTACTTAGGAGGTCTCAAAAACAGTTGTCTAAATAGATAAAATAATTATTCTTGTATAGACTTGCTATAACTGAAATTATCAGCTTCTCTTTTGAAGCAGATGTAAGGTTATTCAGACTAGAAGTATGTATTGGCAGCTACCATCTGTTCAAATATTTGTATTCCTCACTGTAGGGCAAAACCTGAATTCTAGTTTTAATAGTTTTATTGTTGTTTCTATTATAGATCTGTTAAATGAGTTTTTGGAAGGGTTAAAGTTTGGCCTTCTGTATTTGTCTTTTGGCAGTCATTCATCCGTTGTGCTTGGTTAGTGTTACCTAGTGAGCAAAGAAGGATAAATAATTTACAGTTCTCATTATGCTTTTAATAAATAACAAATGGGAGTGCACCTCACAGCTGCGACTGGAATATCCATCTTGTTATGCTATATTTAAAAGGACATTTTTTTTTCCATAGGAGAACGGAACAGTCACAAGAAGCATTTTGATTATAGACTGCAGCTTTCTTCATAGCTGTTATTGATTTGGTTTAAAAATTCATGTAAAATACCAAATGAGATGGTCACTCACTGTTCCACTTAGGTTTATGGATTTTCTCAGAAAGGAGATGTGTACTTTGGATTTTTATTTTTAAGACCTTTTTAAATATGCCATGTAAAATATTGTCTTACTGTAACCTGTCAAGACTTGTATTAGAGACTTTATTAGTACTAATCCACTAACCATTTTTTAATGAATTAAGAAAATATTTCTTCAAATACATTTGCAGGCACAATGTCAGGAAATTCATGGTAATTTTGCTGAGGTTCAAGTTTACTTGCTGAATATTTTCAGTGTTAACTGAAAACGAGAGGATCTTTAGGTCCAAGTCTTGGCAAGAATGACACTACAGTCATTGTGATCAGGTTTAAACCTGAGATGGGCTTGTGAAATTGTTTCCAAGATAAGGCAGAACAAGGCTCTGCTTTAAAAAGAACAGGAACTGCAAAGAGAATGATATTTTCATTTTAATTAACTTGGTTTGAGACTGTGCACAGAACAGCATTCTTTGAATGTTTGTTTACAATGAAAGTTCGTGGTATTCTTTGCCTTTGCAAAGCACTGGCTTTTCACTCTAGTAAGAGGTGTACTATCTCCCAGCCTCTAAACATGTTTATTTATAAGTTTCACAAGCACTTCATAAATATAGGTCATTGAATCTTGTGTGCTGCTGGTTTCTCTGTGAGAGACACTTGCTGGCTGTACCTATATTTTTCTAGTTGAAGATATACCTAAAAAAAAAGTTTTTGAAAGAGTTTTTTTAATCATCAGTTCATCACAACAAAAATCCTTGTAATTTCATAAAATCCTGCTATCAAGTAGAGTGTGTTTCTTTTAAAACAGTGCAAAACAGTGTTTTCAATGCATAAAGTGAGAGTAAAAATAGACCCACATCATAGTATTCTATGACAACAGTAGAGGGAATGCAATAGAAAAATATTCTCACCTTAAACCAAGTGTGTTTCTGCTAGCTGTTAAATTCTGTAAACTTGCTGAACTTACACCTTACCTTCCGTTTACTGTCTTGCCTATTTTATCATTTGTTGGTAAATACATAGTGTGGAGTCACTTGAAAATAAAATAAAAGTAGAATATGTAAAGACTGGAATAGTCCAATGGTTTCTTTTCTCTCATATCTTACTGGCCCAAAAAAAACAAAAAAAAAAAAAAGAAGAAAAAGCTTTGTTTTGGCTTTCTGGAGAAGAAATTCCTATCACAATTGCAAGATTTTAGGACTGGGAATTATTTTTTGCAAACCTTAAAGGAATTCCTATGCCAAATCTTGAATTGTGTTCATGCAATCAACTGGCATTGATAATGGTATTTAAACTTACTTGAAATCTCTGGCTAAGCTTAAACACAAAACAGTTTAGGAAGAAAATCTCCCACACTTTTTCCTGTGTCTACCTCTCTGGAATATCTTATACTGGATAGATGTAATTGAATTAGTTTTGAACTTGAAATTATTGCCCGTAGATGCCTTAGAGCAATTTAAATTTGAAACCACCTATTTGCATCTGATAGGTTTGAAGTAGCAGTACTTAACTGAACTGTTTCTTTAAAAGGTGTTCATTAATCCGCTGGTATTAATTCCCTGCTGAGTTCTTTAGAGTTTAAAACATATTACATTCCAGGCTCGGTAATGCCACATATTTCAAAAATATTTTTCCCCTAAACTGACTGAGAAGAATGCAGGCCCAGTGGTGGGCTAATGGCAGTTGTATTGAGGAAAAATCCACTTTGCAGACCCCTCTCAGATCAGCTGGAGCGGGTGTTGGAGTGTAATAAATGAAGTCTTTGAGACTCAGTTCCATATTAAAGGCCTGCTGGTGGAGGTTGAACCACAGTGGCTAATGGGCACATTCTTTTGGTGAATACCAACTAGAATTTGCTCTTGGTGTAAATGTTTAGAGGTGTTAACTTTCTTCCTTAAGGGATTTTTTTTTCCTTCCTATTCGAGCAGGTAGCCATTCTGTTATGATTGTACTCTTTTACTGTTAAAGCTGAAAATGAGATTACTGATGTGTGAAATGTTTGGTGTTGGCATTGCTTTTAAATGCACTATAGCAGTCAGGAGATTGTTCAGAGTTATCTTCGAAGTGTCTGGTATTCAACAGCAATCTGTGAAAGACAAACTCCAGAGTTTGTGGTAGGTGATTTTCAACAATTTTTTTTCAAAAGGAAACAAACCTTAATAAATTACTGCCTTTCAGGGGACTTTTTAGTATTTAGTTATTGAGTGCTTTGGTTCAGACAAGTAGTTAAACCTCTCTTAGAGTTATAACAGAAAAATTAATTATTTTGCTTTGACTGCTGTTAAAAATGTTTGTTTTTCTTAATTTCTGTTAGAAGCTTTAGGAAGTGTTAAACCAACTGTTGTTGAACTGGTTTCTTTGTAGTACATTTTAGTTACTATTAGACAAAGTAACAGATTTAAGCACAGTTTCCTCATGAAGCTGTGGTTAGTCAGCAGTGCAGGTGTGGCAGTGAAGAGGTAATAAAAAGTGACATTTGTCAGCTCCCTCCAAATTTGCATTATTTCCAGATGAAAGCATAAGGAAATGAATTATTTTGTTGTTTCATCCTGATTTATTACAGTACTTGACATTTTTATGTGATGCTAATTGCATAGTATCACCTAAGGAAAAAAATAATCATATTTGGTAGGCACTAATGTGATTCCAAGTCTTCACCTTATATTAATGTAGTAGAAGAATTACTAAGAAAATGAATTATTTTATTTAACATGTGTCCTGCCCTGAAATGTCAGAATACCGACAGAATACAGCTTTTGTTCACAGTAGCAGAATTACTACTAAGGAGTGCTGTGTCAACAGTGTGTGGGTTTTTTGCCCACAGTCAGCTTGGCTCCTAGGGAAGCTCTCAGCTTACCATTTGCTTCGTGTTCCTTCACAGCAAGGCTGTAGTCAACAACATGAATCCTTCCTGAAAGCCTCTAGGAAGCCTCTGATCTTTAATGACACTGAAATTTAATGTACATTTTTAATTCTTCTCCTTTTGCTTACCACTGCTTTGAAAAGTTCTTTCCCAAGAGAGAGCTTTTAGCTTTACAACCACATTCAAAGAATGCTGTTCTGTTAACAAAGACTCTCAAACCAAGTTAATGAAAATGAAAATATGATTCTTTTTGCATCTATGTTTGATTTCACGAATGTGTAATGTGCCTTCATAATGGTGTTGGTGAGTCTTGAAACTGAGATACTTAATGTGGGCCTTTGTCTTGTCTGGGTGGTGTACCCAGCTTCTGCCTAGTGAGAAGTGATCTTAGGAAAGAAAAAAGTTGTGACTGGAAAGTGTTTTACACAGATGGTTTGCTTATGAGTGCCCATTTGACAGGCTATGGGAAAAATATAGCCGAAGGACTTTATTTTCAGCTCTTCCAGGAATAACTTCTATAACTTTTAAAACTTTACTTCCTGGATCAGAAAGAGCTTGTTTTTGGATAGCTGAGAAGTTATGCATGGATTTATTTACTGTTTAGGCTGAGGTCAATATTTAATGTATAAGCTAAGTGATAGTCTTGTAAATATCCTAATCTTTTTGGTTTGGGCTCTTTTTTTTTTTTTTTTTACTGTTAAAAATACTGTAGGATACAGGCAGATGAGGTGGAAAAGCCATAGAAAAGAATTGAGTGGGACATTTCTCAGAGGAGTGGGACCATGTAGGTAGGATAGATTGCTCCCATCCATGCCCTGAATGTATTATTTTGCCAGGGTGAATTGATGTGGTGGTCCAGTTAGAAGTGCATTTGAATATTTGAAAGATAATAAGTAGACTTTCAATCGTTTTTTTCTTTATGTGAGCCAGCATGTCCTTCTATGCTTCAGAATAGAGACAAAGTTGTGCCAGTTATCACAGGTACATGGAATGGTGCATCTTTTAACCTGTTGCTTATGGCTGTGTACTTAAAGTATTTGCTCCAAACAGACAGCCCTAATATTTGTACAGAAATAGTAAAATAAATGAAAAAAACAATAAATAAGCTTTTCTTGAGCCTTTTTTTATTCTTGGAAAAGGCTAAGTAGTGTTTTTTTAAAAAACTGTTTTTTGAAAAAAGCCTTGCATAGCAAAGTTCAGCCAGTGGCGATATGAAGTTCCATGATATCTCTACTGAATATCAAGGCAGACTGTGAGTTTAAGAATAACTAGCAATGACTGGCATCTTTCAAACTTGAAATAGAAATCAGTCAACAGCGGGGAGTATGTGGCAAAAGCGTGTTCCTGTTTTAGTCTCAGGTGGGTCTCAATTTCTGCTTCTGTTTTGTGGATTTGGGTGCACTTTCCTAGGTGCTGTGGAAAAGACAAGGCATCCAGACAGCCCTTCCACATCCATGTTCAGAGCCTGTGTCTTTTGTGAAGACTGGAATCCAAAAAATTGAGAATTTTAAGTGGCAGGTTGGTATGGTTGCCAGTGTAGTGGCGCTGGGCATGGCTATGGGTGTAGAAGAGGACAGTGGTGGGAGCATCTCAAACTGATGTTTGTGTAGGTGTGACCCTGACTTTGAGATCTGCAACTTGGATATTTTTCAGCTGGTGTAATGAGCTATAAAGTATTTTAGTTCATTAAATGTAAACAATTATGTAATAATTGCATTGTAGAGCTGAAAACATTCTTGAAATTAAACGTTGAGGAAATGTCCTGTAGCTGTGTCAGTTTCTTCATTTTAATTTGTCTTCTTAACAGGCTTTATCATCATATAGAGCATAGCTTCTAATAGTTAAGAACTGTAGGGGAAACAAACAGCAATATTTGCCAAAGTTACTCAAAAATAAGCTTTTCATGTCTGTTATAGGAATGCTTCAAAGCACAAAGTGTTTTTCTGTGTAAATCATTTTGTGCAACTGCTCTTGATAGTTCAAAATAAAAGAAATTTCTGCACAAAGTTTTCTGCAGAAAAGGAGCCCGAAATAAAACCCTTCCTTTCTGTTCATGTAGAGTCCTTTCTGTCTCTTAAGTTTCTTAGAGGGGCTGAATTTTTTCTTTTATTTTTTTACCTTTCCTTTTTTTTGAGCAATTAACATATGCTTGCTGTCTGAATGGTTAAATTTCTCCCACATGTACCTGCTGATGTGGCAAAGCTCTGTGTTTCACACTGGTGTATACACACCACAATCCTTGAGATGCAGAGCAGTTTTGAGTAGTGTTCTTTGTGTTTATGGTGACCAGGAAGTCTTAATTTAACTAGAACTTTACTTCATATGTAATTTTGGGATTCTGTTCTTGATGTCTTCCTGTGTGTTTTGTGAAGTAGCTAAGGGAGTGGATGTACATGTAAGGTGATGGCATCCTCTTTTCATGGTTATGACCATTGTCTTTCTAGATCTTCTTCCAGCCTTGTCTTTTCAAGTGTAGGATCCAGGCAACTTTCTCTGTAAAATATGTATTATTTTGTTTAGATTTTTTTTGCACATTAGGTAACTTTTTGAGCACTTTCTCTCTTCTGTATTTATGTAACGTGGAAAAGGTGGAGTTTTTTTGCAGTGAATAATCAGTGCTAAGTAATTCCTTCACAAATTTTTTCATACTCCTTCCAACATACAGTTTTGAATTATGCAAAGATTTTTGTAATCTCTGAGAAATTGCTGGGAAGAAGGACTTGTAAAAATCATGTGTTGTACATGTTTTATGTTGATTTTATGAAAACCATAGTAATTAAAAAATAAATTGAAAGATTGTCAGTGAAATTGGCAATTCATAGTACTTTTTACCTATAATACATTTTTGGTATACTTGTTCACAATTGTCTGTTCACTTAATCATGGGATGTATGAAATATATACCATCATACTTCATGAGAAATCTTATTAGCAAAGTCTGTCATTTCAGTTAACTGTTCGAAGATCAGATGTGTAATTGAGCCAAAACCACTATGGACTGTAATTTATTTAAAGGTTCACTGATTTCTGTCCTAGATTATTTGCTTCATTGAGATGAAAATTGGAAGTTTTAGGTTTAAAATTTTTTCTTTTCTTCACTGATTCCCAGATCTGCCCCTCTTTCATGAATGAAATATATTTGTTTTGATATGACACAGCTCTAGATTATATTAAGAATGACATTCTTTTATGATGTAGAGTATGTTCTTGATTTCATCATCCCATTTAGATGGGATAACAGAGTCCGATGTTAGATCTTCTGGACTCAGCAGTACAATGGGTGGGAAAAAACGTTTTTGGTGGTTGAAGTTTGTACTTTTTCTGGAGTAGTTCACAGTTTCTATTCTATCACAAAGTATTCTGAACCTATTTGAGTGAACGTATTTAGGATTCAAATAGCTGTCAGATATATTTAAGTATTTCCTGTTTACTTTCTGATCATGTGATTATTTCATTTAGGGGTTCATATAATGAGGCTTTTATTATGGCCAGTGACCCCTTGGAAGGCTTTCATGAAGTGAACCTCGCTTCGCCTACGACACCCGATCTTCTTGGCGTGAATGAGCCAGGGACTCAGGAACAAACTACCTCACCCAGTGTGATCTACCGACCACACCCTTCTGTTGTGTCCACACCCATCCAGCCCAATGCATTGAATGTTTCTGACCTTCCTACACAGCCTGTTTATTCATCTCCCAGACAACTGAATTGTGGAGAAGTGTCAGGTGTCAGGTAAATGCCAAGTGTCCTTTTATTTAAATTGTTGATGTCTGTTGCATATAAACTATTTGCATCATTAAAGATAGTTTTAATGTTATTTACAATGTTGCAATATTGTGTCCATAATTATATATTCAACATCACTACTGCCACTTCTAAAATACTTACTCTCAATGTATTATATAAATAAAAATTATATTGCTCTCTTTACAGCATCAATGTTACCGACGCAGTACTTTGTTCTACCTCTGGACCCCAGAGTGGGTCATTCAATCACAGTAATGCCAGGAAGGAGAGCAATAACGTGGAGAGAGAGCTATTGCAGGGTACTACAGTAGCAGATGTTGCTGAAGGAAATGAAGATATTTTTGGGTTGAGTACAGACAGTTTATCTCACTTACGGAGCCCATCTGTACTGGAAGTAAGAGAAAAGGGCTATGAGCGATTGAAAGAAGAACTTGCAAAAGCTCAGAGGGTAAGGTTCGTTGTCTTGTTTCCTCCCTCTTTTTCTCTCTTCAAAGTGGTTCTAATATTGCAGAATGATAGATAGGCCAGAAGGTGCATTTGAAGTCTGCTCATTTCTTCTAGATTTATTATGATGTAATTATTTTATGCAAAATTTTCTAACTACTTTTCCAAGACAGTACTGATGTCTTAGAATTATTCTTTGATAATGTTTTTTTTCTAGAGCTGCTGCTGCTACTTAACCACGGAAGCTTTTGCTGCAATATCTGGTTAAACACACTCTCTTTTTGAAATGTAGGCTTTCCTTCATTCTGACATTTGAGAATAGGAGTAGTTTTCTGTCATTCTGGTGTTACTGAATAAGTATTTATAGACACTGACTATATACCTTTCGAGTCTTCTTTCCTCTAGAGTTTAAAAGTGTAGCATGTGTCATGGAATTTATAAATGCTTTAGAAACAGAAGTGTTTCATAGGGGAATGCTTGCATAGGAAAGAAGCAGTAAAAATGCCTCTGATGTTCTTTAGAGTACTGTTACACTACACTTCAAATTGAATATGGATACCTTTGAAGACACTGTGTCTCAATTCATTAATATTTGTAAAGCGCTTTGTCTTGTTTGGATGGATGGTGCTATATAAATGCAAAACCATTATTTATCATTTTAACATTTCTCTGTGCTTAAGTTTTTGAGTAGATGTTGTGCTATTTGTATCTGTGCCCTTTCTCCTCCTCTAGGTGACTCCATTCTTGTTTAGGTTTAAGCTCATCTTGTGTTTGAACTTGCTAACCTCTATTTGTTACCTTATCTTGTTGGATGCAGTCATCATCACTGTTATAGCGAACCTTAACTATGGATTCAGACATTGCTTTTTCTGTTGTATTGCTGAGTAGTGGCTTCAATTGCTATGTGTGTGTTTGCTTAGCTTTTGGCCACTGAAAGAAAACATTTACCTGAGCTAAATTTGAGGATCTTGCATGTGAATATATAATCCTAGCAGTTAAACTTGGAACCCTTGAAAATAAGAACAAATTAACATCCAAACTTTAGAAAAGCTCTTCTTTACAGTGCATGAAATTACAGCTCATGTACTTGAGAACCACAACTTGGATCTGCTGCTGATAGCTTGGAATGATCTAAAAATCTTATTCCAATGTATACCACTTTGTTTCTTAAAGATGGAAATGTTTCCTATTTCACTCTAAAATTTGTTAAGGCTGTTCTTAAGGAAGTGGCATGAAGGCTGCTAGGACATACTTAGCTGCATGTTATATGTTTTCAAGCTCTTTGTGTGGTCTTAACAGAAGCAATTCAGCACTAACTTGCGACTGTTGATATCAGAGTTCTTGCTAATTCTCAATTCTTCATGTGATTCTTGCCAGTGTTATGCTGGAGAGGTAACTTGCTTTGCTTGTCTTTCTAAACTTGCACTGTTTCAGAATTGCTTAGTCATGGCAGGGGTCTGTACAGACTCTACAACCATAAACCTCTTCCTTCCATTATACCCACTTTCTTCCTCTTCCTGCATGAGGATTACTTTTTCCCATCCCTAACTCATCTCTGGTATCTTTCCTCCAAAACTCATGGCTGTTCACATAGTGCTGTATCCTCTCTGTGATATTCATGTGTCATGCAATCTTTAAACTTCTGTTTCCAAGCACACTCACTCCTGTTGATGAGAGCTCAGTTCAAGCCCTCTAGGGATGTAATGAATAGGTAGTGTCTTTGTATAACTGGTTGTCTTTTGTGTAATGGCTTTAAATTCTCTGTAATTCTCTGAGCTGTTTACTAGTGAGAAAAATGAGAATTACAATTTGCACTTGAAGCTTATTGAGCCTGGAAGCTTTACAGGCTACAGAGAGTGAACAAAGTAAATGCAAATTTGCTATTTTGCATTTTTCACTTGTTCCAAATTTCCTGCTCAAACTGTGTGCTATTGTACTATACATTAAAGATTGTTTTGAATTTGTTGCAGTTGTGATCAGGAAGGGAACTAGAAAGGAAAATGAAGCTTTAAAGTTTAGGGATCCACTAATTTTTTTCCTTTGCTTGGAGTGCAGCTTCTTTCTTAAAGTGCTGTCAGTTTTTTTTATATTAGATAATGCATGTATGCCATGTATTTGTTAGACATTTCAATATGGTTCCTGAATAAATTATTCAGTAATAGTAATAGAATAAGTATTATTTTTTTCCTGCTTTGTGTGTGCCTTGGATTTCTTAAGACTATAGAATTCTTAAAATGAAAGATGTTGCTGGCAAGATTGTTAAAAAAAGTCTTTCAAAAGTTTGTGTCCTGATGAGAGAAAATATACTTTCTACTTCAATCTAGATTAGTTGCAGCATCAGATCATGTCATAAGATTGGGAGGGAAGGCTGGGTCAGAGGGTAACAGCAGTGCTGAATTCTGTACTAATGGGCCATTTATGATTTTATGTTTGCTTTAAAATGCTCTCTTAATTAAAATGACAGATTTTTTTCAATCTCTGAGACTATTCAGATAATTTTTTGCTTATTTTTTCACTGAAGTGGTAATTTCTGGCTATGTTCTAAAAGTGAAAATGAGTGTTTGCTTTGTATCATCTGAACCCTTCTTGTTTCACTAATCTTCTAAAGCAGCATCAGGGAATGGAGAAGGTGTTAAAAGACTCAGTGACTGTAATGCCTGGGACCTTATGTCCTCATGTCTCTATGCATTTGTGTTTTCCACATATTTTCCATGTTGCAGTGAGCTCTGTCTCTGTGGTTATGGACTGTAGGTCAGGCACATGCAGATGGTCTCCAGAGAATAGGGATGACATTTTGATACATCACTGTACACATTTCATACATGGTATTTGTTGGGAACACAAATTTAGTGCAGTCCTTGCAAGGGAATACCTTTTGCTTTTCCTCTGAATTAACCAGCATACTGCATGTGTTTTAGGTAGCTTACCTGTAGTTTCTGAGCTTTAGCATTTCATGGTCATCTTTTTCTTGAATTTTTGTGTGATTTGACCCAAAAATATTTCCATGTCAAAGAAACAGATGTTTTAGCCCTCTTTGATGAGGAAAGAACAGTCTGCCAGAGGTGATGGTAACAACGTGCTTGGTTTCCATGATTCCCATGATCTTTTAGAGTAAGAACTGTATAATTAGTAACAAGTAAAACCATATTTGACTTTCTGTAGTAAAATGTGAATGAATAATATTTTCCTAGTAGAGTAAATTGATTTGTTTTCCCACTATACAGTAATTCTTGTGAAAGAGATGATAGTACAGAATGTACTGTAAATTTCAATATAGTTTGAGAGCCTGATTCTCAAATTTAGAATTTTCTTTCAAAGGCTTCAATTTCTGTATGCATTTTTCATCTCAGAAACAGAGTGTTACAACAAATCTCATGTCTTCAGATCTGCTGTAAAACATGATGTTTTAAAATCTGCATGGATTAATAATAAACAGTTTCACAATAACTACCCAGGAATTCCAGTAGTACTATACAGTGCTATTCAGTATTTTAAAATTTCTGCTGTTTTCTTATAAGTTAACAATAAAAATGAGGCTGTGTTAGAACTGTACTGAAACATATGCTTTCAATCTTTTCTAGAATCAATTTCCAGTTGAATTGTAAGGCCAGAGGCTTGTGATGGTTCAAGGTGTCTTGGTTCCCTGAAGGTGTTCTAGCAGTTTCTGGCTGTCTTTGATGAAAGTTTCCACCCCTCTTGTGCCATTGCAGTGCACTGTAGGCAGTGAAATTTTCTCAGGCGAGTAGAAAGAAGACTACATGAAAGCAAAATAGAAACATCTTCACCCACACCATAAGATAATTCAATAGCTTGTGAAGTTATGCTAAGTTAGAAAGGAGATTCTGGATCTTCTATCACATCAGATCACTCCCTTGTAAATCTGGTTGCAAAGGACTGATTTTTATGTAGTTTTTTAAACTTGTGTGCTGAGTGAAGACCAGTCAAATCGGAGTGCATTTAATATAAATACTTCTTTGACAACTTCAGAGTTCAGCAATATCCCACAGTTCAGAACTGAGGTGATATCTATAGAAAATGTTTTTTCCTTGGTATTATGTGTCTAGTTCTGACTTGGTTAAATTGCTGAGTTAGATGTAGGATGATTTTCTTCCTAGGATGTAAAGTGTGAATTGTTTTGAAGCAGTAATTTGCAATTCTTATCTCACAGTTGGTTTTAAATACCCACTCCATAATCTGAGAAGATCAAAGAGAAATAAACAACAATATGACCCTTTGATAGAGATTTTTTTTAACTGTTTTTCTTGCCTTCTGTAAGTGTGTTTGTAGTGTGCTTTATAATAGTTCCTCATCATGTAGTTACTTTTTCAGAACAGTAATGAATGGTTAGTCTAGCACACTGAGTTGTCTTTTCTGCTTCTTTATTGGGTATGGCTGGGAAGTCTCCAGTAATGCCTTTAAGTCTCAGGCAGTAGTAATGTTTCTGATAACTGCCAAGCTTTTTGCTTTGAGCACTCTTCATTTCCGCCTTGCCTAAAAACCCTGAACCTGAATTTGCTTGACAAAAATGTCTTTCATTATGCTGAATTGTGTCATGGAAATTTGTGTAGTGTTTGATAAATCCAGCTGAGCAGCCATGCATAGTAGACTGCCTGATGTTGTCTTTTTGTTGAGAAACTTTACTCATCTGCCTAAACTTTAATCTAATCTCTCCTGATCTTTCCAGTTGCAGGCAAAATGTAACTGTTTAAAGTAAGTAGTGTATCAGTAGTGGTAGGTGAGCCTGAGGTTGTTTTACTTGCATTGTTAGTTTGACAACCCTTTACCTTAATATTGATACAATCTGCTTTTAAGAGGTGTATAGCATTGTTCTTATAAATCAGGGAAGTAAGCCAAAGGAAATGTTGATGTTTCCTCTGCATTTATAGGAAAAGTTTCAACTCTTTTTTGAGCTTCAAGCATTTTGCTTCAGAATCTTCTTTTTCCTGATTAAGAACCATACTTTATATGGAAAATACTTTAAACCAACACAAAATAATTAAATTTCCCCCCTGCTTTTTTTTTTTAGTGTCTTTCTTTTTCCTTTTTTTTTGTTTTTGTTTAGTTTTTTGTATTCATTTCTCCTTCTCATGCCTCATCTGTAGCTATTTTCCTACTGCCTTTTGGGGTTTTTTTTTGAGAAAGAGGTAGGTCACTGTGTGCAGAGTAGTAGCTAGCAAGTAAGATTTGAATAGAATTTGAGAAATACCAAGTTTGGGAAAATCCCCATCATTTAAGTGGTACCTCTCAAAATAGTTGCAAATTGAAGCAAAAAAAATCCAAATGACAAAAAAAAACTAGACTAAAAATCAATCAAAATGTCCAAAGTTAAAACCAAATAAAAGAAGGATAGAATAATGCCTTTGATACTAAATGATTCTAGAAGAGTCCCTAGTTCTTGTCCAGTCTAGAACCTGTAGTCAAACAGGAGCCTTCACCTTACATAAAAGTGTATTGCCAATTTTACTGCCTAAATTGAGAGCAAGACCTAATACCAGCATGCTACAAAGCAAATGCAGTTTCCCACATAGTTGTGTGCAACATTACTTCAGTCACGAAGACTTTGGAGGAAATATTAACCACCTTCCAAAAACACAAAAGAAGCTGCAATTTGGGCCTTTTTTGTGGCTCTCTCATGACTGGCCTCCCATAGTTTTCTGAAGTCAGCTATTTTTTACTGGCTTGTGGAGGTTTTTGGAGCAAATCATTGCTAGATTGTATTTGAAATCTTTAACCTACTAGTGACAGTCTTTGGTCTTGCATTTCAGGAGCGGTGGCAGTGTAATACCTTTCTTGGCAGGGAGAAGTGGAAAAAGAGGAGATGGATGGGGATGAGAAGTAGCTAGGGCCAAAAAGAGATTGAAAGGTCAGAATTGGCTACTTTTCTTTCTTTTACTTTATCTCTGCATCTTTCTCTTTCTGCAAGATCCCAGGGTTTAATGAATACAGAAGGGGAGAAGCACTTTCTTTCAAATTTCTTGTCAGCCTTTTTCGACTTCTCTGCAAAGTACCCCACTTTATCCTCAGTATGGATGAGATTGGGCATATGTCACTATTTTAGTGCCAAATCTGTGATAAAATATTACTGCAAGAATAGGTATGGTCAGATATTCACTCAGACTTTAGTGGGGTGGACAATAACATTTTGAATTTCATAAAGTTGCTTTAATTTTATTTGTAAATCTGCATAAACAAGGGCAAGGATATAATTAAAGAACAATTTTAGAAATATTGTAAAGAGATATTTGGAAGACAGTATTTATCGTAAAATATGTTTTAAGAATTGTTTAGAATTGCAGACCGTTCTGAGCCAGTGCTTTTTTATTTTTTTAATATTTTTTTTAAAGGCTTCCTTTAAACATATTTTAAGGAATGGGTAGATAAACTGGTGCTCTGTCTGTCCCAATAATTAATTTTATCTATATTTTATGTGAATACAGCCTTTTATACTTCCAGGGGAAAAAAAAAGTGGAAGTGTTGGTGTTTAGCTTAGGTATACATTAGATTGCCCTGGTATAATTCTGTACAGCAGGAAGAAACAGCTATAAATGCATAGCATTAATTTAATTGCTTTTAGTGTTATGATGACTATTTTGAAAGGCTTTGTGTAGCAAAGGTTTTATGCTCCTCTGATTATTTGCTTTAATTTTTTTGTCCCCCCTCTCTTGTGGTATTAGCTTTAAAAGGCCAAATTACTACTCTAAGTCAGAATAAATAACTTTCAATTTTCCATAGGAGCTGAAGTTAAAAGATGAAGAATGTGAAAGGCTTTCTAAAGTGCGAGATCAACTTGGACAGGAATTGGAAGAACTTACAGCTAGTCTGTTTGAGGTTTGTTGGAGTCTTCCATGTGATATACTTAAGGGAAGCTGAGCCAGATGTTTGATGTAGAACCAGTATATTGTATGCTGATTTTTTCTGCAATAAGTGCATAAAAGGATTTGTGTCCTGAAGACTTGGGTGTGTGGAAGTAGAGGCTTAAGAGAAGGCAGCAGACTTTTCAATTAGATGTGAGACACCGTATTGAGCTTGTCAATCTGCCTAGACACAAAATGAAGAAAATAAGGGAAATAAATCAGCTTATTTTTTGGCATAACTATTTTGAGACAGCTTCTCTGTCTGACAATAAGGCTATCTAGATAAGAGCTAAATTTGGGGTTGCCATGGTGACTAAATAAAAAAATAACGTAGTTCCAGATGAATGGAGGTAGCAAGTACATAACTTAACCATGCTTTCAGCTTCTGAATTTTGGCTCTGGCAGCATGCTGCACCCACAGGCTTCAAAAGAAGCATTACTGCTGAGTGATGCACCAGGATGAAACCTGGTTACCAAGTGAGAAGCCAGAACTTTCAGTGGGACCTTGCATTTGAGGAAAAGGCAGTAGTACCAGCAAAGATTGTGAGATTGTATTACAGAAATAAACCATAACTTGAAGTAGGATCAGTTCTCATTTTATCTTAAGAATATATATAGGAATGCTTTGGGCCTAAATTGTGGTATCTTCAGCTGTCAGAATACATTTCATAATCCATGGATGATTTATACATTTACTGAATTGTAAGTGTTGGCTTTCAGCGTATGCATAAAGATACAACATTAGTTATGTTTTAGAAGCAGTGTTTAAGCCTATGATGTTGCATGAAAGTGCTATTAAACATTCGAAAATCAAATTACAAAGAGCAAGGTTACTTATAATATTAAGCAGTTCCTTTGTGTAAAAAAAGAAATAGAAGAATGGAAGGGTATTTTATAGTAGAAATACTTGTTTGTGCTGGGGGGAGGAAACTGTTGGGCAGGTATTTTAACTGTGGAGGAATAAAAGGAAAATTATTGGCAACATTTTTTATTTATGACATTGCATTGCTTAGAACAGTGTGTCACTTTGTTAAAAATATGTTTGAAATACAGTTTATTAGTAATAATAGTTTGAGTTTGAATTGTCCAGACTGTTATAGGCATGTTACCCTAAGTTTTCTTTTGTGATTTCATTTCACTTAGAGGCTCTAACAAGACACAGTGGTGAGGTTTTTTTGCACTGGGATCTGCAGCCCTTGAATTCATGTTTAATTTTGCATCCCACTAATTTCAGCAGCCATATAAATGGATATGCTAGGGCTTATATTGTTGCATCCCAGTGGAGGATTGAGACTTGTTTTGCACAGCTGGGTGCATATATTACATTATTACTCTGTAATAGCACAGTGACATGCTTTGCTTTCAAAGATCCATCACTAAGCAGAAACTGCATGGTCAATGTTAAATGTATTTGTACACATTGTATAAATGTGTATGTTCCCATTCTTGCATGTGTCTTGTTACATATGAGAATTTGACAAACCCATACTACACAACTGTGTTGTATGCTAGTGGGAGCCAGATCTTTTGGTATGACAATGTATGAACTTTTTTGTTTTATTTATATAGTGTCCAGATGTGCTAGGCGCTTTACAGATATGAAAAGGATCCTATCCCAAGTAATTTGGTTGCTGGCTCTGATATTTCCATTTTTGTGGCCTTCAGTAAGTACCACGTGAGAACAGTAATTTGATCATAGGCACAAGTTGCTGGATCAGAGCCTAAACAAATACAATATACAGACAAAAGGCTTAGAGTTATGAGGTAAAAGGACATTGGAAAAACCCTTAGTCCTTTTATGCTTTATTGGCTTAGCCTTGTTTCTTTACTTGGATTGTTTTATTAGTGCTTTTTCCATTCTACTTAAAAATGTTTATTAAATAATGAAGTGTTTTTATGCTGTTGTTTTGTCTTTTTTATTGATGGCAAGAATTTAGCCTTCATAGTTGTTTGACTGGTTCCTTCATGCCGAAATTTACAGTTGTCTGAAACTGGTTATTCTGGCTACAACAAGGGAGAAGTTCTTTTGAATGTGCTACTGTGCCTATGTTGCTTTTGTTGCTACTGGTTGAGTCTTTCTCTTGGGGGTCCAGGAACTTGTCAGCCACTGGAGCATGACTGGAGCCTGGTGTTCATGACAGGTATTGTTCCTGCTGGAGTGGGGTAGGTGGAGTTGCTGAATTTCTCAATTTGGACTCTTGACCCAAAATAGTTGGCCAATGATGAATCAAAAATCACAGATTTGAAGGGGTTTTTTTTAAACGTAGCTATTTGGTTTCAGACTGTTGCACATCTTAATAGTCACAAGTAGTCTTCATGAAGCAAAAGTATTCATTAGTTGTTGGATTTTTCATAAATTTGTGTGAAGCATTTACACTAGCTAAACATCTTTTATAGGAAGCACACAAAATGGTTAAAGAAGCAAATGTCAAACAAGCTGCAGCAGAAAAACAGTTAAAAGAAGCACAAGGAAAGGTGAGTTTTTTCCCAGCTTGTTTGCTTTGTATTTTCACATGGTTTTAAATCTGAAGTGTGAATCATAAAGCTGTAGGTAGAGGATTACCTATACATTTTTAGAACGTATACTCAATTGTTTATTATATACTAATCTATTTTTTGTTTGTTAATAACTTTATTCCCCCCTGCCCTGTGAAGATTGATGTCCTCCAGGCTGAAGTAGCAGCATTGAAAACACTAGTACTGTCTACTTCACCAACATCTCCAACTAAGGAATTCCAGTCTGGTGGAAGAACTCCTTTTAAGAAAGGCCATGCAAGGAACAAGAGTACAAGCAGTGCTATGGGTGGCAGTCATCAGGACCTTACCATGATGCAGCCAATTGTAAAAGACTGTAAAGAGGTAATGTACAAGGATATTTCTCTTTTTGCTGATAAACTGGCTTTATTGTTTTGTTTTACTCACAATAAATAGAGTATATCTTAAATCTTCATTTAATGCTTATTTTCTTAGAGATATTTTTCATTAATGAAAGAACTTTCCTTACATCCCAATAGGAGGTGATTTTTCCAAGTCTGATTTACCTTTAAATCATTAAGGGAAGATGAGATAAGATTTCAAATACTGAAATTGCATTAAAAATTTTAATTTTAATTTTAATTTTAATTGGTGATTTAAAAACCCCAAACAATAAACCAAATTATATAACTAAATGATAGGTCCTGGTGAACTTCATGAAATCCATCACTGAAAGTTCATAAACTTTCATAAAGGTTGTATAAACTGTCATAGAAAAGAGGAAGAGTCATTTTATAGATCAGTAGTGGGTGAAAGAGGCCAGGGAAAAGATGAAATCAGTAATTTATTAGAGAATAGGTGCTACGTCACTGGAATCCTGAGTCCTATCTGTTTTTTGGGGTTTTTTTTGTGTGGGTTGGAGGTTTTTTGTTTGCTTGGTTTTTTTTGGTTGGTTTGTTTGCTTGTTTTTTAAATCTACCCATCTCACTGAAATTAGGGAAATAATGTGGCGAGGGGTTGGTACTTGGGATGGTAGTAGCAAAAACTGACCAAAGTGTGGAGAAGGAGCTTATTTCATTGGATGGTTAGCAAAACAGCAGATGAAATCCTAAAATCAATAAATGAGAAATGAGGCATTTAGGAAAAAAATGCAAATAGCAAGCTTGCTCTTGGAAAAGAAAGCTCTTGGAAAGAGCTACATTGTGCTGGAAAAAACCTAGTATCCTTGTTGATCATTGTCTGAAAACCCCATCTCAGTGTTCAGTGATGGTCAAAGGCGTACAGAGAGTTAAGAGTTTTCAGGAAAGGAATAAATAACAAAAGATAGTATTGTACTGCTGTATAAACATGTAGTAAGAGTGTTTCTGTACATGCAGCTATGATATATTCATCCCAGAAGGGACACTGAAAATAGCTCAAAGTGTAACATAGATGGTCAAACCTGATGGAAAGATTTCTGTGTAGAGATACTTGAGGTAGAAGAAAAATCTCTGCCATCTCAGGTGACATGGAGAAGATGAATGATGAACACTTATTAATGGATTAATGGAAACTCTGGAACCTAAAAAGAAAATAATTTAGTCAGTACTTAATGAAATATTTTCATGAGGAAGTAAGATTAAAAATACATTCAAAAGAGTCATGGAAAGTGACAAGAAAAAGCCTCAGACAGGTGATATGCTGACTGGATCCTTACACTTCATTTTACCATTAATTGCATTTGTATTGGGCACCATTTTACTATAGAAAAATTTTACTAGAAAGTTACTATAGAAATATTTTACTAGAAAATTAAGGCATCTTCTAGTTGATGTATCATACTCAAAAAAAATCAGATTATTTACAACCTACTTGCCCACTTTCAGTGCTATCAAGGATTTTTCCTTACTAAAACGGAATCCTTGTTGCTCTTCAGAAAACGGGAGAACTGGAATGGAATCTAATTACTTTGTAAGCATCACACTGAGGTCATGACTCAATGAAATTTTTTAGTGTTGGGCAAGAGCAAGAGACCAGAAAAATCTGTTTTGCCACAGTTTCTCATGAAGAGAAAGTGGTGATTGTGGAGCACATGCTGCAGAAGAACCAGCCTGCCTGATGCTTTTCTTTAGTAAATTCACCTTTTTGTTGGCTGCATAAGGAGACACTTCAAGGCTGCCTAAGGCTGCTCAAATTGGTGACTTTTCTACCAGTGGCGGCCCAGGGAATCACTAAGAAGCACACTGGCTTTCCACCCAGTGGGACTTGAGTATTTTTATTTCTCTTCTGAGTGAGATATTTAATGAAATGTAGAATGGGGTGAAAAAAGGCAAGAATACCTTTGGCATGTTAGCTAAGACATGGTTTCAAGCAGGGGATCCATGCCTTCCCAGTGGTTCCTGTTATCTAGTACTTTGGCATTTTGTTTACTGGCTTTATTTGTAGCCGCTCTAAGGTAAATTTTTTGCATTTCTTGGAGTTTGTCTGGAACCCTAGTTCAGTCCCCTTCTTGCTTGTTCATGCCACTGAGTTGTTACTTTTTGAATCTTATTCTTCTGATTCTGAGTGACTTGACTTCTAAGGGGGTCAAGAGTACCCTTGCTCGGGGCTGTGTATTGGCCTTCTGCAGAGTCTACCAGCTAGAGCTTTGAGCTGTGGGATGGAGCTGGGTGTAAATATGGTCAGCTCTCAGATTTCTTTGTGGAATGTAGACAGAGTCACGAGTGTTTGGCTGTCCACCCTAAATTGCAGTGGGGCTAGAAAGCTGCCAGCATCCCAGAGAAATATTTCCTAGTATGTGGTAGTAAGCTCTAGATAAATAAACATGTCTAATAAATTTCTGTATTAAAAAGATTGAAATAAGCTGCACAGATCTCAAGCAAACAGGTATCTGCCTCACCAGAAATGTTGATAAATGCATCACAGTTTTTCAAAGAGCTGAGATATTTTGCTGATGTCATATTTACCGTAATGAAAGCATAAAAAATTTAACTGGAATTGTTATTACATTTGATTGTACATTTAATTTCAGGTAATCAAAACTGGGATCTAGTGAAAGCATATGTAAAGGCAGGGAGGAGATACACACATATCACACATTTTAGATTGAAAATGAAGATCATCAGGCCGTGGTCACTGAACAATTCTTCTCAAGGCAGCTTCTTATAAACTGTTGGTTTAGGTAAAATGGAGTAAATATGGAAAATAACCAAGTTGATAAGAAATGCATCTTAATTTTTAGAATTCTAGAGTACAAGTAAAAAATGGATGTTTTTCTGCTGGTATCTCTTGATTGTATTAATTTTAAAGCCAGACCTGAGATGGGTTTAAGTTATGGGAAATGTTCCTTTGGGGAGCAAGTTACACCTATTGAACTGCACTTGTACCATGAAGTTGGTGGCTTAGCAACCAGAACAATTATGGATTAGCTTAATTAAGATAGTTGTTCCTGATTGTACCTGAGCATAATGCAAGTGGCTCTAATGAAAAACAAAATTTCCAGTCTAATTGTTGTAAGTTATTTTCCAAGGAAAGAAAAAGAAAAAATTTTAACCAAAAACCCCTGCAAATGATGAAAAGAACTCCCCAAAGCATACATGTAAAAGAATGGCAAAGTACTGAGAGTGCAGGAGGGGTGATGCAGGGAGAATGAAAAAGAGACTGAGGTTGGTTCAAAGCAGCATATTGTTCTTTTAAATACGATTAAAAATCAACTTTTAGTATGTGCTATTTCCCCATTTCACCATCTTATCTGTCTTTTCTTTAATTGTACAAAATTTTAGATTCACATCCTGGCTTGTCTTTCTCCTGCAGTGTACATCCTTTCAATGGTTTTAGTTTTAGGAGTACAACCTGCTGTAGTTCAGCAGACTGAAGGTGCTGAAGCAGAATGTCCAAACCAGTCTGGGGCTGGTGCTGCACATCCTTTGGGACTGGAGTTGGTTTTATGTGTTGGATTAGGAGTGTGTGTCAGAAACACTCACCCCCACTCTGCTTGGAGCCCATGAAAGGTCTTTTCCCAAGTAACCCTAAAGCAGATGATGTGCTCTGGGAGCACCTCAGTGTGCTCTAGCCTGTGGGACAGACTGCCCCATAATGCAAACAGATTTTTAATAACAACCTAGTACCCATCTCTGGAGCACCACACTGGGTAGGTGCCATCCCGCTGCTAGCTGATCTCAGCCTCAAGATGACAAAACAGGGTGTTTTCAAAGAAGATACAATTATCTTTTCCTAACACAGAATACAGTTCTTCTGAGCATGATTTAATAGGTAATTTTAGCATTTCCTCTTTGCCTAGAGGAGCTGTTGGGGGAGCAGGCTCAGAAATCATTCCCAGCAACCATCATTGCCTTTCTGTTGTAGGGAGGTGTAGGAGAGAGTTTTAGCATAAAGAGGAAAAGTGAAGAATAATAATGTACTTTTAACTGAGTTGAACTTTGACTTCCTCTTTTCTTAGGATATTCAGTGTGTTAGTCTGTTTTCTTTTAGTGTTTGGATAGCAGCAAATTGGAGTCAGAAGTAGCATGAACATGTAAGATGTCTAGGATTGCAGTTGCTTTCTTTGAATTTCTCTGCTTTTCTTAACTTACATAAATGGAGGTGAACTAAAGTACTTTAAGGAAGATGCATGAAGATGGAAACTGCTTTCTGTCTTTTCCTAAGTATTTCAAAGCTGTCTGTAAGCTTAGGAAGTGGGGGAAAGGTCATTACCTTGTAGTGGTAGTGTGCAGTGGTAACCAGTAAATGCATTATCTCTGTGTATTGAAAGTCATATGTTTTGATTTGCTTGAATTTACAGGCTTAGGAAAGTGGATTTAAGAAGGTGTTCATAGCTGAACCATGATAGCATTCTTTCAATTTACACATCACATTCTTTCAATTTTTCCATTACAATAGAAAGCATTTTGATGCTTATTATTTACCTGTGGATGTTTGCAAATGATCGACACTAGTGTGATAATTATGTTGCTAAAATATGTGAATTTTTGTGTGTTCTAGGCTGACCTGTCTCTGTACAATGACTTCAGGTCTTGGAAGGATGAGCCTACTATGGACAGAACATGTCCTTTCTTGGACAAAATTTATCGGGAAGATATTTTTCCATGTTTAACTTTCTCCAAAAGTGAGGTAATGGAAATGGTCAAAATGTGCTCACTGATATCTTCCCCTTAAATATGTTACATGGAACCAAAAGACTATTATATTGTTTTCAATATGAAGTTTAACCATTTTTGTTTCATTAGTCTGTGGCAATTTACAGTGAAGTCCTAAAGTCTGACCATTTTTTTCTTCACTATTCTATTCCATTTATGCTCTTCCAGATCCTTTTTATGTCTACTTCTTCAAATGTTATGCCTGTCTGTAGGAATCTGATCTTTGTTGAAATGGATGGAAGTTTTCTTCCTGATACTTCAAATAGAGTGTAAAAATTGTATTCTATGTCTTGTTTATATAGGAGGCAGTAGAGACAAAGATACTTAATTTTGTGGACTGACTTTCTCTCATATCAGTCAAAGCAGACTGCAAGCGTAGTCTGGGCCTTTTCTTGAAGAGAGGTTTGAGTTACAAGAATTAGGCTTAGGGATTTAAGATTCAACAGGGGAGGTTGGTGGATATGGTTTTTAAGGAATCAAATTAGGAGGCTTTTTTCCTTGTGTTATTCCCACACACTCACCCATACAGAGGAAATACTGGAGTTTCACCTGTCCTGGGAATAACATGGAACTGATTGCAGATCCAACTGCTTTACTGAGTTTTTGTCCTTAAGCACCATTTATAGGCTGTACTTGTAGTACCTGTTAGTAGGAAAAGGGAGCATATTCTTAGGTCTTTATTAAAATCAGAACAAGACATTTTAAAGTCCTAAGTATTGATATTCTTTCCCAATAAAATTAAACACCTCACATAGAAAACCCTACATTTTCTTCATAATGTTCATGTGTTGTTTTCAGGGGATGTTATGTTCTTTTTCCATGCTTTTCATCTACTGTTTCTTGCTGGCTGTAAGCACATGCAGTCTTTTAGTCAATTGTATACCAGTTTGTTATGGTTGGTGTACAGCATCATATGAACCTCTCCCACTAAAAATTTACTTGGTTACTATGGGAATTAAATTGCTTCCGCAGTATATGTAAGTAGGCCATCCTGTTGTCTTTTACAGCAACTTAATTTGGAATGTGTTCTTCCTTGGTAATATAAGTACTGTAGATTTGTATTGCCTTTTAAGGGAAGAATGAGGCTTCTAGCACTTGTCAGTTGCACCATTTATTGTTTCCAAACGTTGTGTGTAGTGACCAACTTCTGTTTTACTTGGCTATTGATGCTAGTGTGCAGTTAAACCAAGCAATAAATTACACATGTATTGTGTTTTTGAATAATTGAAAGTGCAGCTGTCTGAATGGTTGAAGTATTACATTAACTCTCAGTAGCCTCTTGTGTATATGTGTAGTGTTCTGCTTTTGGCAGAAAGAGTATTTCATATGAACTACTTTAATAGTAACATTCTGGTCTTAAAATAATTAAAGTGAAATAGAAAAAAATACCTTTATTACTTAGTAGGAAAGAACCTTGGCACAAAATTATTTCATTAGTAATGTAAGTTGCACTTTTTTTTAAATCAAGTAAGGGCTATTACTTGAAACTGTGGTCTTGGACAAATGTTCAGTCTAATCAAGCAAAATGGTCACATTTCCAGTGTCTTATGATTTCTTATAAAGAGTGAACATAAAAAACCTGAGCAAAGTTGCCCTTTAAGTAGGCTAGTGTTTGAAAGTTGCAACTGGCTTTTCTATATATTGCTCAGTCTTACTTCTTTGAACACCTTGCTAGACCTATCTTCAGCTGAAAACAGTGACATAACATTTCCTTGTTTTATTTAAGATAAAGATATATGGAGCATAATTTTGTATTTTCACAGAGCACAATAAAATGAGACCATTTTTTAAAAATAAAATGTGTGATATTCAGTCTCTGACAAGAGCATAGCATATATAAATACATGTGCTATTTGGGTGTATGAGGAAAGGCTGAAATACAGTTAGTGTTTTAAACATGCTTTGCTACATTCCTGGCTGCAAAGGAAGTTAGGTTGCCTCAGGGAAGGCAGGGTTATTTGTAGGGCAGAATTTAAACACGAGCCTGGAAATGGGACCTCTTGCTCATGGTAAAAGCGAAATCTTATTTGTAATAGAATTTTTGTTTGGTGGGTTGGTATTTTTTTTTTCTCCCCTGTGTTCTTAACTTTCCAGAATAAGAAATATGTCACTGCTTTGAGGCAATAGATGAAGCAGAGCTGTTTTTAACTGCTTTCTAAATTTCTCTTGCAGTTGGCCTCAGCTGTTCTGGAAGCTGTTGAAAACAACACTCTGAGCATTGAACCTGTTGGCTTGCAACCTGTTCGATTTGTGAAAGCTTCTGCAGTTGAATGTGGGGGACCAAAGTATGTTGAGCTGACACAGGGAGATACTCTTGACTCACTTGAGCTCTCTTGGCTTGAGAAAACTGCTATCAGCTGATTACCTCAGTCAAATTTGTGTATCTATCTTAAATTTAATTCCCTAAAAATCTAGGACTTCAAAATTGTTGTTACAAATTTTGTGGAAAAGTAAGCAACTAATAAATGAAACTTTTAAAAAATCCCCTAATATAGAACAAACGTTATAATTTGGGGAGAGCTTGACTTTTGCTTGTTTTGATGCATTGACCCTGAAAGTAACATTCACCTCTTTGGAGAAGGGCATTCTGATACTTAAACCAGATGGCTTTGAACTGGGGGCTCTGAGCTGGAAAGCATCATGAAAGGAATAGGTATTGCAGTAGTACAGGCTGGGTTTATGACATCTGGAGTACCTGTGGCATAAAAAATTCAGGACATATGTAGGACACTCATAAAGGTAGCTGAAATATTTGGGAAATACAGAGAGAGTTGATCCTCTGAATTTGAGCAGGAGGAATGTAAGTGGGAATGAAGATGGATGAGAGCTGGAATCTAAAATACATAGGAAGTATGCTTGAATGACAGGAAGGAAGGTTATTTTAGAAATTCGGGAATGGTCCTAGAGAAATGTGAAGCAAGACTTGTCAGGTGCTGATACAAACATTGAAATTGGGTAGGAAGGACTTGCCTGAGGCACTGAGGCTTTGATTATGTGGAGAAGGAAAGGGGTTGTAGGATGCCTTAGTGGATGTTGGAGTAAGAAAGCAAGGTCAGTCTAGATATTAATTTGAAGCCCTCCAAATCTTGAGAGAGACTTGACCATTCTGTTGGAAGTATTTTGGACGAGTTGACAATTTACTCTCTCGTATTTGATTTGAGAGAGCTCAATTTTATAATAGAAACCTTTCATAAGAAAGTTTTCATTTGACTCTTAAGATTTCTTTCTTTCTTATTGCCATTGCTTTTTAATTGTTTTTCCTCTGACTGTAATAGAAACTACAACTGACACATCTCAAAATTATTTATTTTCTCTTTAAAGAAGCTTTATAAAATGAAAATTTGTTTTGTGTCTTTTATGACTTAGTCTTTGATCCCTTCTAGTCTGCAAAGTTCAACCATTCAAATTTTTTTCAACTTCCTCCTGTCACTAGAACACACTCTTGGAGCTGTAGCTGCCTCTCATCAGAAGGGCCTACACCAGTAATGGAGCTAGTCAAGGAGTAGGGAATTCCTATCCAAGATCTGCCACTGTAATCTGTGTTCTATGAAAGTAGTAGAGAATCTGGAAACAGTCAGAAACCACTGAAACAAATCATGTGTCATCAAAAAACAACTGACAAATGGATTTGAAATCATTGTGGTTCAAGCAACTTTGCCACATCTTGATGTGATGAAATACTTAACCCAGACGGGAGACTCAACTGCATCATTCAGAAATTTCTGGAGGTTTTTAACTTGTTTTCTCCAGTGTAGGATAACTTTAAAATCAGAACTTAGAAAATCCTTACATATTTGGCAAGATACAGATTCATGTTTTGGGATGACAATGCACAAGTTGTAATTTAGTTATTTTACATATACCAAAAGGTCAGGCAAATTCTTCTCTCCCTTTTCCAACTCTTCTGTACCAACAAAAACTTCTGTGCTGCTGCTTGTAGATAAGTAATAGGTAAGGAATCTGCAGTATTTAAGTGTAATTTTACAGTAGTTGTGCTTTGCCTTATATATTATTACTTGCACTGAACGGGAAACAGGTGTTGCAGTTTTCACTGAATCAGCATAGCAGTTTCATGTTTATATTTTTATATGGTGCAAAATGCTTTTTTAATTTGAACTGTCAGCTTAAATGGGTGACTTAATATAGACAAACTGAAAATAAGCAATAACAAAAGCCAGAGTAATGTTTTTGAAGAAGTGATTTTCTTGTACCTTTGCATTTTGTTGTACATTTGTGTGGAGGTAAAAAGATGCATAAAATAGTGAGTAACAGCCCAAATAGCTTAGTTAGGGTTGGATGACAGAAAGCTGTGATAGTAGTAGAGAAGGGTTCTGAATATACAGAAGTTGGTGAATGGTAACTGTGATGCTGTGTAGGGAGTGCTGCCGTAACAAAAGGCAGCTGTGTTTCCCCAGAAGATTCCCATCATTGTGCCCAAGGGGAGCAAAGTGCTGAGCTGTGTGTGCTGTACAGCACAGGACTGAGTCACAGCAGGAGCCCTTGGCTTCCACTGCTGGCATGGAAGGCAACACAGAGAAGGCAATTATGTAACCAGAAGAAAAAAGGAGTTGTATTTTCCTAGCACTGAAAGTTTGTCTTCTTTCAAAAGCTAGACTGAAATTGTGATCCAGCTTGCTTCAGCTACTTTAAGATTTCTTGTGTCAATGAACTGCTGTTAGTCCTTATAAATTGCTATGGAAAATTGTATGCACACTTCCATTTTCTCCTGTTTTACATGGTTCTGTGGACCAGTTGCAGGCAATTTAAAAAAGCCTATGAGCCACTGTTCAGAACCACAGAAGCTTAGTAATTTTTGTTTCACTTTAGAAAGGCAGCTTGTTCTTAGACTCCCCAGTTTCATGAGGTAGAAATGGGAGAAAGAAGAGACAGCAGCTTTTAAAATTAATGAAACAGTGGTTGCCATGACAACCCAATTCATCTGAGAGGCTGTAATACAGACATTCAGAATAAATCAAATTCTTCTCATCTTTAAAAATTCATTGGTTTCCTAACTTGTTTTTTTTTGGGGAAGAGTTTGTGGTGACTAATGACCTTTTCTGAATACTGCATAGTTGCAATACACCAGAAGTAAATTTAATTATTTTACTCTCACTTTTTGTAATGGTAACAGAAAGAATTACTGCCAGACAGCCCATTTTCCTTTGTCCCAGAAGATTTTATACTCTGAATGTGAAATATGATTTTGATTCGGGCATAAATGCAAAACTGGATTTAAAATGCATCTCAGAGAATTGACTGCTCTTCTGTGAGGCTGATTTTTTTTTTTAGGATGAAATACAATATCAACTTTAAAAAAATCTGTTCAAGTGTTGGCATCAACTGATACTTTTAAAAATGTTTATTTGACATATCAAGAGTTAATTAAAGAAATCCCACTGTGCCCGAGTTGTCAAGCCAATTTAAATTAGTGAATATGGGAGTGCTTTCCCAGAGCTGAAGAAAGTTTTAGAATTCAAAAAAAGCATCATAATGCACCAGTATTGAAATGAAATTAGACCTTGTGAGACTAAAATAATTGACAACATAATGTAATAATTGCAGCTTGTAAAATGAAGTAGACACTCATCTATCTGTGCCAATATGAAGCAGTTACATTGGCACCATAAACACATCCATGTGTTTAGACATTAATGTCAGATTGGTTTATTGAATCATGTGACCTTTATATTTGTAGGAAATGTGCTCTCAGTGGACAAAGTAAGTCATGCAAGCATAGAATCAAATTAGGAGATTCAAGCAGTTATTACTACATTTCTCCTTTCTGTCGTTACAGGGTAAGTAGATTTACTATTATTTAATTTTGTATAGTAGTTATTTAACTGTTTTTCCATGCCTCTATACAAAATTACATTAACCACCATTATTTTTATGAGTTTAGATCACTTCTGTGTGTAACTTCTTTACATATATTCGATACATCCAGCAAGGACTGTTGAAGCAGCAAGATGGTGAGTATAAAAAATTGTATTTGACCTATATGAAGAGACATTTATGTAATGCCTGTTCCTAAAAGTTGCTCTCTGTGTAACAAAGTTGCTATCTATGACATTACAGGTTATCAGCTAGTCATAGTTGTAATTTTGAGAATATGTTGATATTTCACTCTCCAATGGAGTTATTTTTTAAAACAACAAATTATAATACATTGATTTTCAGTTCATTTAAAAACCCCTTATGCAGTAAGTAATGTTAAAATAAAATCTAACTAGGGGAGTTAGTCACAGTTTTTCCACACAGTGGTCAAAAATCAAATTCCTGTCACACAATGTGGAGGTATTTTCAATGCAAAAAACTTCAGTTTGGTTTGATCTGGACCATTTTTTCTTTAGCTTGGTGTTTTGGTATGTCTTCTGGTATTGTGCAGTGGCAGTTGTTCTTGTCAGACTTTTTTCAGGGGGAACTGGCAAGAAAGACAATATTTTGGGTGAAATTGCAAAATGTAAACAGGTAACCTTTTATATATACAGAAAACCTGCAATCATTCATCTGAGTGCAGGTGAGAATTGAGATCATTGCAGTGGCATGGCCAAATCCTGATTAGCCCTCTGGTTATAAATGTAAGGCTTGATCACCCTCCACCCTCCAAAAAAATGTGATTTTTGCTGCCATTGCTTCAGGCTGTGGCTTGGGGGGTTCCCTACCTTTGTTACCCAGTTGCTTTGGTTGTGTCAGAATATCATATCCAACAACTGCCTACTTAAACTGTTTCTGCACAGTAATTCAGAAATTTGCTTAGCTGGGCTATGTGGTTCTGATCTGTCCATATAAAAGAAGACGTTTGTGAAAACATTCTCAGTACACCTAGTTCCTTGATTCTGGAATTTAAAAATATATTGCATGTTGGAGGCATAGCTTTGTCTTCATTTTCAAGACCATTTTACCTGTTTATCACTATAAAAGGAAAAGATTATTTGGCTGTGTTTAAACTACACAGAGTTGATTCAATTGTATTTTCTGTCCAGGTCAAAGAATATTGCCAAACAGCAATCAGTCCAAATTTTTTTGAAATTGGTCATATCACTCAGGCTTCCAGAAGCACTGAGCACAAATAGTGGAAAAAGTGTCATTAGCCCCATGTCAATAGTAAATGAAAATATTTGCTTTCACTGTGAAAATGTAATTTTTTTTAGTTCAGTTGCATTTTTGGAAGTAAAGTAAACCATTGTAATATTTATGGATGTCTGTGCATTTCATTATTCCAGTTTTCAAGTGTCTGTGGATTTCCTCCATCAAGAATTTGGCTAGAATTAGCCCTGCTTTCCTACCTCACCTATAGTCATCTCTTCCTGATGTTTCCAAATTTCAAGAGCTCAGGATTTTAGCTACACCCAAATATTTCTAACCTGAAGTACTCCTGAGGTGATAGATAGAATTACAAAAAATAATGCTGTTAATTTTCAATGTTAAAGGGTCATGGAATTCACCAGAAATTTATGTATTTACTATACTTAATTATGTTTAATAAAACCTTCAGATGGTGGTAATTTTTACTAATTTACTGGCATCACTGAAGATCTTGAAAATGTGTTATTTAAGTTTTAGTATGGTTTGTAGTCAAAAGGCTTTTACTTTGACCAAAAGGACTTGTGAAGTTTCAACTAAAAATTATTTACTTTGCTATCGAGATTAAAAAAAGCCCTAAATTAATGAGTTTTTTACATCATATAATTAAATATTTTCAACATTATCAGATTGATTTATTCTTCCCAAGAAGTTTGTAAAAAAAAACCCCAAAGTTTGATGTTCCAGCTCAGTTATCATCTTTACCACTAGAATGTAGCATTTGCATTTCTAACTTTATGTAAGGATTTCAACAATACATTCACAGGAATGTAGGCACTCATCATAATTGTCTGTATAATGTGCTGTATACATTTCTACTAATGCACCATATAATTTTTAAGACAGAGGTCACTTATGCAAAAGTGTTTTTGAACTATGGTAGGGAAGACCTTGTGCTTGTTGTTCAGGTTTATGATATTTGTAGCCATCCTACATCAGGATCTTGACTGCATGGAAATTTTGTCTTAAATAATTATTTACCCCATGATTTTGATTTGTATTGCTGTGACACCTAGAAGCTTAGGCTATGCATTAGGCTTATCACATTTAGAAAGATACAGATGAGATAAGAAAAAAGGGTCTTTCCTACCCAATTTATTGTTGCTAGTAGATCACTATAGGAAAAAAGGGAGCAAGAAGGATTAGAAAAGGTAAAATTGCAGATTCTTTGAAACAATTCTTATTCAGCAAGCTCTACTTTTTTCTTTTTGTAGTCATTTAGTTTCACAGAAAATGAGTCAAGGGGCAGGGAAGCTTAAATAAGAAACTGCAATTAATTGAAGCTGACAAGAATACTGAAATAGTTCTGTTCTGCATTTTAAAGATAACTGAAATCTGAGGAATTTTTCATAGGACTCTCATTTAGAATGTTTAGAATATGTGCTTGAACAAATTTTGTCATAATCAAATACAATTTGCCTTTACACATACTAATGTTGGTTTTACCAGATGTTTGTTATGAAGTTCCCTTAAACTTATATAGAGTAAGGCAGCCTGAACATATCAGTTGAAATAAAATGTGAATTTGGTATATTTAATGATATTTCTGTCTTTTTTAGTGGATCAGATGTTCTGGGAAGTTATGCAGCTGAGACGAGAGATGTCACTAGCAAAACTTGGCTATTACAAGGAAGAGCTCTAAAACTTTTTACTCTTGCGCGTGCATGAACTTCATTGAATATACATAACTAAAATTGCTGAACCTCTTTTTGTCACTTGATATTTATTTCCACAAAGTGGGTCCAAGATCTTTTTCCATTTGCAGATGGCACTAAGAAGTACTGTGATTGTTTTAAACTGACCTATGCTGTATATGCGTACATATAATACTTAGTTGAACAAATGTGGTAAGCACTTGCAGGTGTATTAGTGATTGTAATTTACATTTAAAAACAAATCTTCTGATTAAAGTGTTAATCTGAAACAGTCTCTGTCTTCTGTTGTTTGTGATGTAGAATGTGAACCTCCCCAGTAGGACACTCCAAAATATTTGCTCTTCATAAAATCACTTTTATAAATGCCTGGTATTTTCTTCATTGTAGTGTTTAGTAGCTCTCTATGCATGTGTGCCATTACAGTTAACAGACAGCTGGGAGAACGTGGAATTGTTTGAAGTGCTGCTTTCCTATACTTGCAATTTTTAAAAATATGTATGTGGGAAGAGAAACACATATAGTGAAGAGTCACAGCACAATAAACCTGAGTATATTCTCTTTAGGGAAGGGTGCTTCTCAAATATGAAGGAACAATGAAATAATCTTGTTTGCTTTTTGGTTAGAAATCTTTTTTGACCCATATATGACTGCAAAAAACTTTATATTTCCCCTCTAATTTTCTTTCACTAGAATTTTTTCATTCCTTTAAGTTAGGTTTTTTCCCCCAGTCCTCTGGGATTTCCAGTTTTCAATGTCTTATACATAATTTCCCCCATAGTTGTTCTTGAAACTCAGAAATTTCCATTATGTGATTTCTTTAACATGCTGGTGATGATTTCCATATAATGTTACAATTTGTGTGTGTGAAAAAAATGGTGTCAGAAAACCCCCAAAAAGGATCCTGGCCTCTTAAGAGATGCTTTTTCTGTTGGAAGTGTTTCTTTGGCACTTGAAGTGGTCATTTGGTCATTTTTTTCCTGGGCATTGTCTCAGCTGAAAGCAGATAGTTGTGATGTTACAAGGAACATGCTTGTGGGTATGAACTGAACTTGCCTTTCTGGAAAAACATTGAATCTCAGTCCTGGCAACTATTTATCAGTTGCACACAAGATTAAAACTTTGACAGGTAAACTGACTAGAAGGTGAGCTTTATACAGGTTTTTTTTTCTAACAAGCATAATCTCAGTGGATCTCTTTGGTGTTGAACAAAACCAACACTATTTGTCATTGTCTCGCTGCAATGTTCTCTGTTTTCATAAGCGTCAACAAAATGGGCAGTGAAATTTAATACCATGCTTGTGTTGCTTTTATATACAGGAAAACCCTTTGCAAGTGTTGGCTTTGACCAGACATTTCAATGCTAAGATAAAAACAAACAACTGAACCTAGATATTATTAGTAATGGAGTATATAGGTCCAAGCTGGGCAATTTTAGTACTGAGGGAATACTCCCATCACTGGCTACTACTTGCTGTTGTAGAAACCTGGAATAATTCTACCAGCAGTTGTTAAAGGATTGTTTATCCATTCAATAATGCTAAGGAAGTCTGGCTTTACTCAGTCTTAGAAAGCAAGCTGTATTTATTTGTATTAATTTTTTATGTTAGGCTCATAAATGCTTCCTAAATGCTTGTTAATCCTTAGTTTAGATAAGGAGATAGAACGGTTTCCATCATTAGCAAACAGTAGGCAAATGGTAGCCAGTAGCTACCATTTGGACTTACTATAAAACAAAATCCTGTTGCATAGTTAAGCAGAGAGAAGGGGCCTTTTTGTACATGTTGGTATCTAAAATGTACTATGCTGAGGAGGTTTTCTTGTACAAAGGTGTGCCCCATGTAGTGCATCTCACTAGTAATGACTGACTCAATTACATCAACATCTTGTAAATGCTGACTGACTTCTGTCTTCATGTCCTAATCCAAAATTATTTTCTATATTTTTCACATGAGCAGTTTATCATGAGAAACCTGTGTCACTGTGAGTGCCTGGGGCTTGTAAAAATGGGACAACTATTTGTCTAATGAATATAATTACTTCCAAAAATGTCATAATGTCAGACTTCATTGGAACTTCTGTTCATAACCAAATGCCTTTTTTTGATGTCTGCTCAAAACACTTGAGTATTTCTCTCCTGTTTGCTTAGTGGTGACAGAATGGGCAGTTTTCAGTGTTTAAAGATGAACTAAGAGAAAGTGTAGTAGAGTTTGCTGCTGGCCTTAAAAGAGCTTTGTTCCATGTTCTGCTTTCCCATATGTTTTCCAGTGTTACCTTAGACAAACAGGCTAATGTGTGATTTAGTTTTTTTAATAATAGTAACAGCATAGAAGTTCTACTTCCCTACTAGTGATGGCTTTGCTCTTGCATTTTTGATTACTGTCGCTTCTATTGGTAGTACTAATTACATGACCTATGTGAAAGTACAAAGACAAGATAAGTAATTTTTATTGCTGCATTTTTTGCGCATGTGTAATTAGTACTGGGACCAAAGGTCCTTAAAACGAGAACATTAGACTTACTGACAGGCTAGAACCCTTATCATATTGCCTCAAAAGCCTTGTTAGATTCTCCTTTTTTGTAGTTTAAGTCCTTTACGTAAAGCCTGAATCTAGTTACAGAGGAATGAAATCAGCTGAGACAGAGTCATTGAAATCCCTAACAAAATCATGATGTATTCCTTGGCATATTCATAATCATCTGGAGGAGACTACATTTGTCCCAGTGGGAGCTCTTCAAGTAGTAGGAAAGCAAAACACTTCTTCTGGCTTTTCATGGATGTGGTGGGAGAAAATGAGGCCTTGCAGCAGTTCTTTGAAGGTAAGACTAGTTTCAAGAGAAGCCTTAACAATTTTTAGTGTCAGCAAAACCAATAATTGTTTGGGGGTAACTGAGGAAGAAAGGAGGAAGAAAAAATGCTCTGAAACCCAAAGCTGTGTTTACACTAAGTTATTGTGGAAGACAGTAGCAGAATGATTACAAATAGTACAGATGTGGTGCAGTGCCTTTTTCTTTGTGCTCTGGCCAGAATACCAAAGGGAAGGCACACCCAGCAAAGTCTGCAATATGGCTCGTTGCAGTGTAACACTTCTGAAATCTTAGTGATTTTCATGTGGTTAGAGATCTCACTTCCTCCTCAGTTTTGGCATGTCAGGTAAAGAGGGTTTTCTTTCCACCAACTGAAATGGCCTGATTGTAACTGGTAAAATGTTAATTGTGTCAGTATCCTCAGGACCCTCCTGAGGAGTTAAACCTGGATATTTTTGTCTTTTGGCTGGGATCATCTGTCCTGCCTTTTTCTCCAAGACATTTTCTATTCAAGCTCGTCCAATTAGTTTCATCATTTTCTCTTACTACACAATTCACTTCCTAATAGATCCCACAATAAAACTGCATTTTTATTATTATTATATTTATTTTATTATTTATTATTATCTCTGATAATGTGTTCAAAGGCTTTTTACTTTTGTTTTTTTTTACTATTTTTTTTATCTCTCTCCAGTTTGCTTTTTGTTTTTAATATGTCATCTGATCTATTCCAAGCTGCTTTTGTTGTATTTGTTTTCAAATGCAGGTATTCACTGATCTCAAAGTACCTTGGGAAACTACCAAGTTAACTACTTGGGAAAATCACTCTTGTGATTTGCTTTCTTTGTTATTCTTTTCCCTGCTCCTCTTTTGGCCTGGGTGAGAGGTGGCAACTGTAATTTTAAATTTTAATTTCAAGCTAAGATATTAAAAAATTGATCAAAGAAATATATTTAAGCCAAGAAATTTAAATGGGCGAACTACAGTCTAGAGGTGCTAGCAAGCAAATGTGTTGTTTTTAGGTGGTGGGAAATTCATACCATGTTCCTTTAGTTTATGTCATGGAGTTGAAAGGCTAACAAACTTTTTTGGCTTTGCTTTCAGCAGCATAATACTTGTTTTTATCATGATTTTTTTTTCCATTTTTTTTCCAACTGTTTCATTGCATACCAGTTAAATATCTAAATCATGTTGAATACAAATTATATTACAAAAAAGCACAATTTTAAGGAATTCTCTTGGAAAACATGACTTTCTAGGGAAGTATAGGTTAGATTCTGTTGACTTTTGTGACAATGATACTTTGATGGTAGAAGGTGTGGCAGGGATTTTAGCTGTATAAGCTCTTTAATGAGAATTACTATTTTAAATTATATGATTATTACCTCAGCTCTTTTTTAGAAGGTCTTTTGGTGGTGTGTGCCAGGGTGAGAAGCCCTGTTGATTCCTTTTAATTACAGGAAAAACAAAACATCTTGGGATGTGATGGCCTTCCGTAATATGTGGTTGTGCTGTGTTCCATTGGAATGTGACAGAGGTCTGCTGAGGCCATACAGCACACAGCGATGCTGTTAGATGGCTGAATTTCATTATCTGGACACGGATATGTGTCAAGGCTGCAAGAGCCAATCATTCATTCAGTGTGGAGTAGGCTCTCTTGCTTTTGTAAACCATAGGTAAGTCAGAAAAGGGAGCAAGCTGAAGTAGAGAGGTGGGTGGTCAGCCTTCTTTTCAAGCTGAGATTGTGTTTTCTGAGCACAAAGTCAATTTCAAGTAGTGGCATCTCTGCAGCTTAGCGCTACAGCTTGTGGGCTGGCTTTGTAACACCTCAATGAGGCAAAACCTCATGAAGCAAGAGTCAGAAATTGCTAGTGTTGATTTGGTGGTCTCTGTGATTAGTCATAGCAGTGTTAGAACATGTTTCTCATGGCTAAGAAAAACTGGATCTTGTGATATCAAGTGGAGAATGGTGCTAGGGTTCCTCAGTGGTTCAATTTTGGCTTACAAATGCATCAGCTGGCAGTTGATGAATCTGTAGATCTGCTTGGTAAAATTATTTGAAATTCATGAACGAAAAGAGTCCCCTCTGCCTTGTGCTTTAGCTCCTTACACTCCATATTTGTTTAGACACTCACTAGTAAGACAAAATTGCATCTGTTGTATTGTGAGGGGACAATACAGTCTGAAACAGGATTTTTTCTCAGGGAAAGTGAGATAATGTTTGTTTTCCTGGCAATCACTTCTTTGTATAGTTGACAGAACTTTTAGATTAGATATGAGTCTGGGATTTGACCATGGCTTTTTCTCATTCAAGTAAATGGTTTTGTCTAGTGTGCTGGGAAGTTTTCACTTTTTTTCTGTTTCATTTCACTTGCACATTAGAGTTCTCATCTTTGATGCAAGTTTTTTTCCTATTATTCTTGTTGAAATGAATATTTATAATTAAAACATTCTGCATTTTAGAGTCTGTAAGTTCCTATTTGTCAAGGGAAGGTCAGAGCTCTCGATTAGTTCTTCCACCTGTGTGTGGCAGAACAATCTGTTCTTGCTGATGTTATCAATGAGAGAGATCTGGTAGAAGGTCAGCCTAGTTACTGTTGAACTTGGTCTTTTCTGTTGTAAGGTACTCTGAGGTGTCTGAAATGCATGTGTTTTGTCTGTGATCCAAAGAAATCTCTTCTTTAGTGGAATCATCAGCTCTCTCTATACTCATACTTCTGCATGGGTAACGTGGAACATGGATTAGAGTTTGTGGTAAATAATGAAGCCACTGAAGAAACATGCCCTTAAAATACAAAACCTCAGGGGTGCCACATACAGTTTTAAGGATGAGAGTTTGGAACAGGAATAAAAGATTAAATGAAATATATAAAATATTGATGGTAAGATTTTTTTCTATAGAAAATGTTACTTTGGGGGAAAAAAGTGTATCTTAACACAAACTCGCTCCTTACAATTTGGAGTAACACGTCCTTCTGAAGTTGAATAACCTAGGCTGTGATACCTCCTGGCTGGCTACATCTGGTTTGTACTTATAACCTGTAGCTCTGCAGCTTGTGTCAATGACACCAGGTCTGTTCCAGTCATATTGAGCTGGACTTTTGTACACAATTTAAATGCCAACCAATCTTGGAGTCCATTACCATGAAAGAAGGGCCTATAAGCCCTATAAGTAATACTTACCTCAGTGTCAGTCAATGAGGTTCAGCTGGGCCATTAAGCCTGTACAATGGAGCTCATAAAGTGCTGAAGCCTCTTTTTGTAAAAAAATACTTATTTCATGGTAAAGCGTCTTAAGCTGGAAATCAGTTATTATTTCTCAAGCAGAAACATATCCCTCAAGTTGCAAGGCTTTGTAGCAAGCTTGAATTTGTCTGTTCAACAAGCATTGCTGAACGCTGACCATGTTCTCTGTGCTGTTTTTACCCCTTGAGCTGGTATATAAGGATAGTTTCATGTGTAAAGCAGGTGATATTTTAACACTGATCTTACTATGGATAGCTGGACTTGGCCAGGAGCTTCCTGGCATCATCTTCTAATGTCAGGAAATTATTAGTTTAGTATTGATTTTTAGTCAATACTATTTCTCTGTCCCCCATCCTTCACTTTCCATTTAGATACCAGTGAAAAGGAGGCAGCTGATTTAAATGCAGATATACATAAGGCTACATGAAAGTATTCAGAGAATTGATCAAGGTAGGTTTTCAAGGATTGAGACTTGGTCACAGGACCATAGAGTCAAGCTGAGGAGCCAGGTGATGAGAGCCTCATGTCTGGAGGAAAGAAGGGGATGTCTGCCAAAGAGTAACTGCCAAATTAATAGGCTGAAATTCATATTTCTCCTTGGGAGCCTGTGGCTGGGTATTAGGGACAGGAGAGGTGAGAATGGACAGGAAACAGAAGACAGTGGTACTACTGGCAGGTTTTAGACTTGGGGACAAAACAACAGAAGTACCAAGCTTAAAAAGAAATGAGAAAAATATATAATCATATGCATGCTGTGACTGCAGTGTGTGTTCTGCAAACATCTGTGTGTGAACCCCCTGCCATGGCACTGCTTTGTCCTTTCACCTTCATCTGTTGGTTGGGTAGCTGGTAGTGCTCTGCACAGTAACACCAAAGTTGAATGTGTCACTCAGTGCAGACTCTTCCAGAGACTTCTGGGCATATTGCAGCATAAACTAAACTGCAAGCAGAGCCAAGCTGACGATTGAGGCTGCTGACTCCATATATCCTCCAGCAGCTCTTAGCCAGGCACATGGTTCTGTGCTTCCCAGAGGCCTCACTGCAGGGCTTGTCCTGCCACATAGACACAGTTCCCTGCGCTCACAAGCATGTAGCATCCAGGCGAGTGACTGTCTTGCATGGTGCCCATATCTGTAAGTACTTACTGTGATCAAATGCCTGTGAAATGGAAGCCACCATTTAAAATAAATTTGCATATGATCCAAGAGGTCCTCCTCTGCTGGAACAGATGCTAGTACGTGATGCCACTGACCTGGAAAGTACACTAACAGAGTTCTACAGGGCAGCAAAATGTGCCCACTCTTCCGTGTACCTGCGTCACAAACATTCATTAGTGGTGGCCTGTCTTCCTGGTGTGTACTTCCTTCCTCTCCCTGCACTGCTTATTCTTTCATTCTCCTCCTCACCATTTAGCTGTTCATGCAAAGTGGAGAGATTAAGCAGAAATTATAGATATTTCTGTTATCATCACTTAGCAACAGAGCTAATATCTGAACTGTGGGATGTCCACTTGAAAAGCCTTGTCCATATTTGATTTAGAGCTGTATTCTTTGATTCAAAAGAACCTGTCTCTGATCTTGGTCAAAATAAAGGATTCTTGGTTGTATGGTACAGGAAAAACATTTTGTATTTGACTTCTGGCCTCAAGTTAGTAATCAAAGTATATATCATTCTTCATGAGGGTTTGGTGGTTTGAACAGGAAAAACAGGTGGGGTAAAAGAAGGAGAAGAGAATCATTTTCCTGTGGACTATGTTAGTAAAAGGAGAAAGGTTTATAATTCTAGGTAGGAGGACCCTACATTCAGACATGAAGAATGAAAGGATGAGAATCCAACAGGTTTGAAGAAGGCTGCTAAGGAAACCCAATCCCTTGTGCACTCTCTAGCTGGTTTTGCAGAGTGATCTGCTGCTGCTTCCAGAAGTTGTGTGTTCCAGGTTTGCTGAGATAAGCTAGTGGGCTGCACCTATTGAATCTGTTCTCTGGTGCGCGTGGGACAGTTTTGTTTACATCATCAATAAATTGAGATGCAAGGATCTATCAGTAGCGCACCTCCAAGCTGCTATCCCCCAGTGAAAGGCAGTCAAAATTAAGGCTACAACACCAAGTAAACAGTACCTAGATTAATCTACAACCACAAAGCAATTTGGGAAATGTTTAGTAGCAATGTGGATTTATGTATTGAGAGAATCCTGTGCAAGGTGGTGGATTTTTAGATTCTGCTTGCTTGAATGTCCTTTCTAAATACTGGATCAAGAAGGAACAGTATCAGACAAAGACACCAGAGAAGGAACTGAAGATATATTAGGGTAAGTGTCCTTTGCAAGGTAGTACAGTGAGAAGACAGCAAATGCACCAAAGGCAGTGACTACTCCTTGGCTCAGAGGCAGAGATTAACCTTTTGTGTTTTCATATGCTGCTGCCGAGCTGGGGGGACATGGTTGGTGTCAGACTCTAGGCTGAGCCTCACATCTCTGACTGTGTGGGATGGTCCATTTTGTCGTGTGTGAGTTGGGACTGAAGCACTTGCAGCTCAAGCAGGAATGTCAAGGCCCTTATCTTGTTTGCATTCTGACTGGCCACACCTGTATTTATGGAAGGCTTGCTGCAGAGGTGGGGAGCCTGCAGAGTAGGGCTCCATGGCTGGGTTTTTTAATGAGTGCCCGTTGACTTTCTACAAAAGTTGTCATGAATTCCGGAAACTTTATAATCATAAAATCTGTTTATAGCCTGCAGTTACTAAGCAACACAGGACAAAGTACTGAACTTTTCTATTCGCTAATACATTTAACATGTTAGTGGGCCGGTATTTTTACAATAAAAGGAAGCTACCAATCAAACATTTTAAAAGCTTTATTTGGACTTTATTTAAACTCAGATGGTGGATTTTCAAATGGAATTTTAGATCAGAAATTCATTGCAGTACCTGCTATTACTAATGCACCAAGTGGATCTGTGTAATATCTGAGCTTCAATTCAAAAAACTGTTTAGACCTCAATGTAAAGAAGTTGGAAACTATCTGCAAAACCCTTTTTCTCAGTTGCAGACTGGGGTTGTTCATCCTCCTGCTGTAGTAATTCCCTGAAGCCTTAATGCCATGCATTCCGTGGTGTTTGCCTGGTGCTGCACTGTCATCTGCAGTGCCCCTGCACATTGTTAATTACTCTGCAATTTCTCATCATCCTTTTTCCCAGAGTAACTAAACCAGAAGAATAACACTTTTGTTACACGAGACAGGACAGATTTGGTTTTCCTTTGTGTAGGACCATTGGTAGCATCACTTATTCTAAAACACTGACAATGCCTTCTAAATTTCTGCCCTTTTTACTTTTAACGTTAGGGCAAGATGTCCATGGAGCCTTGGAAAATCCCATGGTGGATACAAGCCTGTTGGAAGAATTCATTAGTAGTGACGTAGAGTTTGGAACTTTGTAAGTATTATAGAGAAATGTACTTCCTCTCCTTAGCCACAGCTGTTGAATTGTTTTATTAGTAGATAAAAACAATTTATCTATGCCATGATGCAATCTGAGTTTCAAGAGGATTGTGCCTATCTTGGCATAGGTTCTTGAAGCTGCATAGGAGGACTTAGAAAAAATGAACTACAGCCAGTAATGGAAATATGGTAGTCTTCTGGTTCAATGGAATGAGTGATAATAAAGTCTGAGTTGATTCACAACTGTCGAGCTAATTGTGACATTAAATGCAGAGCTGTTACTTTAACGTTCCTGTAAGTGCTAATTTACTGTTTATGTACAGAATAAGTGATAAAAGTGAGACTACTGTATAGTAAATTGAGGGAATAACAGAAGTCCCCTAGTCTGAAGGAAGCAGAGCTACTGTTTTCACCCTAATTCTTAGATAGAACAGAAACTGTCCATCAGTCACTTTTGAGACTAAAACTATTAAAGGATACATAGTGTGAAGGCTTATGGTCTGGGGTGGAAAATTATGTAGTATAGATCTATCAAAGACTTAAACACCAAATCTTTCAACTAGACAACTGTCAGATGATTGTTGTTCAAGGCAAAATACTATTAATAGGGTGACACTTGCACTTGCCAAGAAGCAGAGCAAGAAGGGATGTTTTAAAAATAATTAAACATTGAAGTTTTCATTCTAGACAGATTCAGCAGCACGTTTACTTAAAGTGAGCCAAATAGGCTCCTACCTGCTCTAAATAATGAATAATGAATTGATTCTCTTTGCCCACAGTATTAAAGTAAAGAAGAATGAAGAGAAGATTGTATGTAAATATCAATAACTTTTATTTTTAGAGTGACTAAATGTGTTTTAGGTTAATAAGATTATTGAACTCCTGTATGACAACTTAAAAATGCTATTATTTTGTTTTTATACATAAAGTATATCCAAAATGTAAATGTGTATATATATATATGCTATTATGTAGATTAAGTAAGTTAGATATTATAGTTACAGTGCTACAAAGTACTTACATGCAAGAAAACCATCTGTAAAACTATTATGTTTTCAAGGCTGAACAAGATTTTACGCTTACACTAGAGTTCTATTTTGTTACTTATGGGATTAAGAACATTTACTGAATCATTAGATCTGTACAGGTCAAATTATTAAGCATTTGTCTGTAGTGCAGAAAATTTGTGCATAAACAGAATAGCATATCATAAAGGGACATGTCAAAATACTTCAAAGGAGAAAAATATTAAAAGCCTCCATATATACATGCAAAATGCAAAACTCCATAATGCCATGTGCAATGAAAAGGGTGCTGTTACCACCAAGGTCTTGGGTGTACCTTGAAATTTCCATTAAAGATCATCTTGCATCAGAAAGGGCATCAGCATTACATTTATTCTTCTGTTACATTACATGTGAAGCACCATGTGATTTCCTCATCTTTTGCCACATTATCAGTGAAAGGAGAAAAAGGGTTGCCATGTCTTTGCTGAGTGGGCATTTCATTGATATACTATGTTTGTAATGTAGAATCATTTAAACTACAGATTATTTTCTTTTCCTTCAAAAAGCACAGTATCAGTTTCAGTAAAATTCTAACTTGGAGATATATCCCTACTACCTATTTACTTCATAAATACTTTCTCCTAGAAGCATCTCTCTATTTTACTGAAATAATGTACCTTAAAGCAGAAATCAAGTACCAAGGCAACATTTGAAGCCAGAATATGAACTGAATGTGCAGAAGGGAAGTTTTAGACTTTTATGTATGTATCTTTTAAAATTTTACAAAGCAAATTGGAATTCAGTATATATGGATCTAATATCCCACAGGGAATAGAAAAAAGAAATATTTACTAACTATTCAAAGCTGAAAACAAGGTTTAGAGTGTTGTAGTCATGATATTTAAAAGCATCACAGAATCTATTTTGAACGAATTTAAAGAATATTCTAATGTGGAATTTTAAAATTGATTTTTAAAGAGGAGCCATGTGGTTGAAGCTAACCCAAAATGCAGGGTTGTGGACATAACATGTTAGAAGACCACTAGCAATACCATTAAGAAATACTCAAGCAGATGTCAAAAGTAATAGGCAGTAGCCAAAAATGAAACTGCTCTCTTTAATTCTATCCAAACTGAGAAATATAAAACCTGCAGTAGAAACAATAGAGTGAAAATTTTCCATTGATGCTTGAAAATATTTGCTCTGTGTGTGTGATCATGCCTTTTATACATATGAGGGTGTCTCTTCAAGGAATTTTATTTTATTCAGCTTCTGAGAGAACACTCAGCTTTGGTACAGGAGCTGTTTCTCATTAGATTTCTGTTATCCTTCCTCTGCTGCTGCATTTTTAGCCTAACAAGCACCTTAAGACTTGTGTTTCAGATCAGGCTTCAGAGCAGTGTTTGAGCTGACAATTCATAGGAAAGGATTGAGAATCCATTTCTTGAACCTCCATCTACTCCTAATTGTAACAGAGGAAGCCTCTGTAGCTCCTCTGAATGGCAGCAAGATGGCATAGGATTTTCTCTTCCTTAACAGGGATGGAGATACCACAGATTTTTAACCATTAGTTTAGAGAGAATGGGGCTCAAATCCCTTGTGAGGGCCATATGTTGAGAGTCACTGACGTGCCTGGATGTAACTGAAGAACCACTCATGGGAAGGAGGATTGAAACGAGCAGGTTGTGAAGGGGGATTTGGGTGAGAAGGGATGGGGATTGGGTCTTCCTTCATGGCAGAGAGCCACAGGAGATGGTCTGATGAAGTCTAGGTGACATTTCTCCTGTAAGAAGGGGCAGCAAACGTGGTGAGCAATGCTTCCTGATGACCCTTGTCAGTAGCCTGGTGGTCCCTCTCCACCTGCTTTCAGCATTTGCTGTTGTTGTCTTCTGTGTCTTGTTCCAGAAGAAATTAAAATATCTTTTTCATCCCCAGGCAAAGCCAGTTGCCAGACTCCCCACCGGACTCTGGCTCAGAACCGTGTTCCCCCCCACAGCTACAAAGTAGGTGAATGAATTTGGCCTCTCCCAAGCCTGTAGAAGATCTCCAGCTCCTCTTCCCTGTTCTTATGTTGTCTGTTTATTTCTCTCAGCCCCATGGTGTGATGCTGTGTGGCCCAGTGGGCTGCAGCCTCCTCTCCCATGCCCATCTGTCAGGGCACCCAGCAAGCTTCCCTGCAGGTTCATGGAGACCTATCCTGACCCCAGTGCCACAGGGTATCCTTGCACCATCTCCCAAGGCTGCTGCCTGAAGACAGAAAATGCTGTGCCTCCATGGAATCATTCCACATCCTCCAGCTGTTCGGGTTTTAATTATTCATACTTCCAGCCTAATGCATCTCAGATTTCTGGGTAAATGATAGAGCTTTTATGCAAGGGGTGAGACATGCAAAAACCAGTATAACTGGTTTAAGACTGGTTTTAAGTCCCTGTGGGTGCAGGATTTTCCACAGGATGGCAGTGTTTAGACATTTTTGAGACACTTGTGATTGAGGGTCCTTTAAAATACCTTGATTGAAGTTTAGATTGTAAGTAGTAGTGCATTTCAATTTTTAAAACAATAGAAGGCTAATGAGAAATCAAAGGGTTTTTCATAACTGGATTATAAAAATATTGAGGTGCTTTGCAATACCGGTTGTAGAGATTTGTGCATGAGGATCTTGTAAGTGTTCTAGGAAATAGCATAAGAGAAAGGAGTTTTCATATCTATGTAAGCAAGTGAAGCAGCAATCATATACTATGTGCCATATTAACCCACCAATGTGTTCTGCATGCTCAATTATTTTAAATGTTCTGGTATTTTAACATTAACTAGAAAAAAGGAAAATTATTCAAGATAAAAACTGTAATTTTAATGCAAAATGTCACGAAACTAAAGCCCTACCACCGATGCCCTGTATAAATTTTAAAATTGAATCAACTTCTTCATTCATGTGAAGTAAAAAAAAGAAGATATTTTGGAAGGAAAAAATTGGATAATTCTGTTTTAAAAACCCACCAACAGTCTCCTCCCTCAGCAAATCAGAATTTGCATGACAGTGCAGTTATAATGAGATAACAGGTACCTGGGTGTTCTTTTGTTATGATTCTGTAATATCTGTGTTTGAACTTATAAAGGAGTAATGCAACATGTGTTTTCACAAAAGTATTTCTGCAGCATCAAGCAAAAAAAGGAAGCTCTCCCAATTACTAGGAGATGGGATTGATTCTCCAGTGCAGTCTCAGGATTCCAGACAAGGTGAGCAAGTGTGTGAAGAGGACATTCAGTGTTTTATGCCATAGACGAGTGAATACTTGAGGAGCCCAGCTCCTACTGGCTCAGAAAATGTAATGGTATTATTGGTCTGTACTCCACTACCCAGTTTGGAGGAATTTACCTTTTTGGAGAACCAGGATTTATTTCTATTTGGCCAAGAGAAAAGAGCATTAGAGGTTCATGTTTCCTGAGGCTTTTCTTGATAGAACATTCTGCCTGTTTCCATATGCAAACCTCCACTACAGAGATGGTAATATATTTGGCTTACTTTGCTTGGCACTAACTTGACTGGCCAAATAAACAATTTTGGATCAGCTGAACAGGGAATTAGTGGGGTGGATGAGCAAAGAAATTGCCATTTCCCATTATCCCCTTCACTCCATGTTTTGTTTTCTACAAAGTGTGTGCATAAGCAAGCTTGGTAAAAGCAGCATGCTCTTTCCCATCTTGCCCATATTGCTTTCGTTCATTGTTTTATCAAGATAAAAAAAATAAGCTCATACTGATTGATACAAAAAACCTTATTAGGTATGTACAGAAATGAATGAGCATCTGTGAAGTGTGAGGCTCTCTCTGAATGAACAGTTTGTAATGACCAATTTACCTGAGGAATTTTACCCATGTCTGTTAGTGAAAAATCTGAGTGGCTTGTTATTTCTTCAGAGTAAGTTATTTGTCAGGATTAAATCAATCTTTTGGAACACGTTTAATAAATATCAATTGGATTTAGTAAGTTGCCTTTTCTTTGATATTTTTGTTTAAAGATTTTTAATTTTGTTTAATCAGTGTTTCTTGATTGTGACTAGTCCTCTAAGTAAACTGCTGAAAATAGAAGACAAGCAGACACTTCTATATCTGAAATTGCTCTTGCTGCTTTTAATACTGAAATATATAGCTTTGAAATAAGCTTTCTTTGGGTGTCGTTCTTAATAAAATCTCACTGACACATGCATTGGAAAAAGAACAGAGATATGGGTGAAAATGGCATGGGGATAATTTAGAAGTGAGGTGAGAATTTTTTAACTGTGGTGTTTTTCTATCTCTCTCTCTCTCTATCTCTCTTTTTGCTGTATGTCAGAAGCAGGGACTTGCAAATGAAGCTTGGGCCTGAAGTGATTCTGAAGACTCTTTTACTGTGCTGTCGCTGGCTGTGGATGGATCTTAGTTATATGCTCAATGACAGATTTTCTTCTATCCTTACTGCACTCTATTTATCTGTCTCTCTTATCACATTCTCCTCTGTCTTCATAAAATGTATAATATCTCAGAGAATTAGGGTTGGCCCTGTCTGTCAAAGAATTCTCTGATGTCTAGGCAGAAAGCAGTCAGGAGATTGACCAGACGTAGTGGTGAATGTGCTTGCTATTGGAAAACTGTTCCTCCTGTAGTATATTCTTCAATTCAAACTTGTGGTAGAGGGAATGGGAAACAAATGCAATTATTTTGCTTAATTGCTTCTTGCAGTGTTGCAGGTGTACAGTAGAATTCAAAGCTTTCGTTCTCTTCCTGCTCTCCCCCTCCCCTGAAGGAAACTATTCATCCTTTTGGAGAGAATAAAAAATAGAAAGTACTACTTGTCATGTCAATCAAACATTTGTTTTGCAAATCAGGAAGGGTGAAAAATTTATTTCCTAAAGCAAGAGAATATAACACAATTTTGTGGAATAACTGCAAAGGTTAATCACATTTAAATATACGTGCAATGCATTTGTCATTTATATATATGTGCATTTGTGTAAATATATTTGTAAAAACGTCTGTGCAGGATTTTTTGCTAGTCCCAAGAGAAATAACTGAATTATCACAATCTATCTACAGCAACTGTAAAGGACTATGCTGCTGAAGTGCAAGAATATGACAGTGATGGACAGAATGCAGCTTTGGAAAAATGCTGTCAAGCTCTTACATGGCAACCATATCAAACTTCTCAGTGGAACAGCTTATTTGACTCTAATTATGAAAAACTGTAAGCACTGATGTTTGCACTTGAAAAAAAATAGTTTCTTCTGTCTTTTCCCCCTCTTTTTTATCTGTTGTAGTTTTGTAGGAATAAATGATACATTTGGCATCCCTCGTTTTTATTGGAAATAAGAACAGAGAAGGAAGTATAACAGGTATGATGAAATATGAACTTGCAGGTATATCAGATAAATTGAGTTTGAAACACTGGTTGAAATTAATGCCAGTTTTTCTGATTTCCCTTCAGGGATTTAGAGGCAAATGAAAAATGAGTTAAGATGCCTGGTAACTTTTGTTTATTTTGTCAAATGCACTGGGGCAAGTAATTACAAAGCGTATGGCACTTTTCCCTCTAGTGGTCTAACATATTAAAGGAAAACATTAGAAGTTATCAGTACTACTTCTGAGCTCATACAACTTAAGTCTTAATAATTATAGATATGTGGGTGACATGCAGCTGTTCAGTCAAAGATTTAGATTTTTGCTGTGTTAATCAAACTGTAAATAATTTTTTTTTTTGGCACATGATCTGGAAAAGGTAATTCCAAATTCACTTTACATCCCTGATTTTTTCCATTCTACTATTTAGCATATGAACCCTTTAAACAAATTAACCCTCTTCTACAGCATCTGGTTAGTTCTTCAGGATTGGTGCAAAATATTTGTCACTGTCTACATAGGACTTACATAGCACAGTAAATTTTAATGCTCCTCTCACCTAACCTGCCAAAATGTCCCATGGGATCTGGGTGTGTATCAGTGTCATTGCTGGACACTGATGTTCCCTGTTTGCACAGGGGCATAGGGGCATTGCACATCTTACCATGCCCCACACAACCCTTCTCCGCAGGTTGTGATTGACATGACAGGAGAGCAGACCTTTACACTCCTTGGGAGTGTATGGATGGACCCAGAAACCTCCAGCAGAATTTGTGATATGAGCATTCACTCTAAATGAAGGCTTCCAACTCCTGGCTGCACTTTCAGTCAATGACTGCATGAGGGCTGTGTGCTGATGGTGGGAGATTGGTGTTCTGCCACTACCCAGTTACTTGTTGCTTCCCATACACCTAAAATTAAGGTTCCAGACACATTTCTTTGTGAACAAAGATTTTGTGATGCTTAGCAATAGAATATCCCAGTACACACTCTGTTGCCATTATTGTGAGAGTGGACTGAGGTGTTATTTGCAGAGGAAGTCAGTATTTCTTCTAAGTGAGGTCAATGGCAGTGCTCATGCTCCAAGATGCAGCACATTGCACAGATTTTCTGAGTAGGGATCCTGTATTTTGTTGGCCTCAAAACACTCACATGCTTCTCATTCCTTAGTGTAGATGAATTGATCCCATGCCTTCAAATTGCTGTACCCATTTGAAGGGTATTTCTCAGGTTAATTATTATTTTCCATTTTATTCAATACAGTACTTGAACATTTTAGTTATTTCATTTTCACAACAAAAATGCTGTTAGCTGAGGTGGATTAATTAGGAAAGGTTACTCTACCATTAATTCTGCCATTCATTTTGTTTACTTGGCACATTCTTGGCCCCTGATATTGGTAGTGCTCTGTCCCATAGGTGTCTGAAGACTTAAATTCTGAATAGAAAGAGGAATTTGAAGCATATTGCTAGTAGGGATGCTTGTGTGACAGGAATATCTATTACAACATAAAAATTATTCCAAATTTCAATGTACTGCTTGGTCTGACTCATCATTCTTTGTGGACTAGGAATAAAATATATGTTTGTTCTTATTTACTATAAATGACACACTTAGAAAGTTATAATATAAAATTGCTCTTTGGGAGTCATTGGTCCAAACCCTGCAACTTGTGGAGATGTGGGCATTTGTAATTTTGCTTCTCAAGCTGTTTGTTTCCTGTGTGTAGGAAAATAGTCTGAAATTGCATAAAGAATATCAGCTAATGACCTTGCTGACACCTAAATATGAAAAACTACTCCTTTCCCTACTATTTCCTATATAAATAAATTAAAAAATACCCATTGTAGGAAAAACTCAGAAAGTTTTACTTCTTTAATGGTGATGATTTGAGGAAATGGTAGGAATCTTCATTATAATTTTAAATATGAAGTAACACATAACTTAGTAGTTTTGAGGTAGTTGCAAGGTAATTCCAAAGTAGTTTTCTCTTTATTCCCTGTCCCAGGTAATCGATAGTTGTTTGAAAGGGGACTTCTGTTCATAATTTATAAAACAATAATAAGGTCTGTATATATCCTATGAAGTCGGTACATTTTGACTTTTCCAAATAATAATGGAAGAGTAATGAAAATCCATCTTCAGTAGTTGTGTTAATGAGAGGTTCTCAGTAGCATCATAAAGATTATCATAATCAAACTTTCATTAACAAAAAAGAGCCAATGTCTATATAAGAGAACCTTGCCATGTAGTTATTTCAGAATTATCCATCACTTAAGTCAGAGGACTAGAAGCATTGTTGGGATGGTGAGTTTGCTGTCTCTAATAGAAAGACCTTTTGATACCTTTTCTTTACTGTGAATCACAGACACACAATTCTCTTTCTCTTTGGGTGAAAAATTGCCCTTTGAAGAAATAAAATAGAGTTGCTTTAGCCAGAGTAGGATGGACAACTTGAAGTCAGGCTGTAGGGTTGGTACTGATGGCTTTTCTTTTAGCTTAAGTAATGCCTCATTGGAATCCCAGAAACTTCTACAGAAGCACTTGCTGTGGGAATTTGTGAACAGCAAATTCCCACAGCAAAAATTCCCACTCCCCAAACAAAAAGTGGGGAGTCTTGCTGGCTCATTAGCTCATTGTTGTCTGGAGCACTAGCTGCAGACTGTGGTTTGCAGCACTGTTGTAATGAATGATTGAATACACTAAAAGGTTGGTTTGTGCTCTTAGGTGCAGAGAGTTCCTTTATATCAGGTTTGTAATTGAGGATTATACAAGCCTCTCAACCTCTAGTTTCCAAACATTTGGATTTCAGACTAGAATTAGGAGACATTTTATACCTTGACAGTCTAAGAAGAAAATACTGTAGAACTGGTGATTGTAACATTGTGTTTTTAGTCCAGGTTTGTCACTAAAAATCAGATGGAAAGGAGCTCAAGATATCACTTAAGTATGTCAGTACTTAAAGTTGCCATTCCTTCTCCTTGTTTTTGTAGACCTGCTGTAGGATATCACATTGTCACAGATAAAGGATTTAATTTTTCAACAACAGATGATGCCTTTGTGTGCCAAAAGAAAAATCATTTCCAAATCACAGTTCATATTAGAATCACTGGACATCCAAAATATGTCAAAACTCAGCAGGGGAGGAAACCAATAGAAAAGTATTACTTGAAAGCTTATGGAATTAAGGCAAGTGTGTCTTCTCTTTGAGATTATTACTTTTAATTATCCATGTAAGGAGGTAAATAATTGAAGTGAACTCTTTTCTTAGTAATTTTTTGACAAAAACATCTAACAACCTTATGTAGGTTCTATTCTCACATTAAATATCTGCACTTATGCTTGAGCATGGAATGAGCTAATAACAGTCTGGATTCAGAAAGCATTTTTTCTTTTGTAAATTAATGCACTTTCATTTTTTTTTCGCTTTCAAATTACATCTGCAGAAAGACTTGGGCCTTCAGATTAGATGTCAATTATCAATTGATCAGCAGTCAGTTCCTCTATTGATTTCTATGTCATTCCATTAGAAATGAATGCATTTTCACTGTTTTAGGCACAATTTGCCTATTAATATCTATTTCAATTTTTATGTGTTGAAAAATTTTATATTCTTGTCATTTTTGAAAATTATGTTTGTTTTATAGGTGGAAGCTCCAAATGAAACAATTGCTATTGAACAGTCTCAATCAGATAGAAGCAAAAAAACTTTTCCTCCTGTAAAGTAAGATTTTTGAGAAAATTATTCCATTTTGTTTCAATGTGTATGATTGGTTTGAAATATGAAGTAGTTGTTTCTTGAAATCTTACAGTAGCTCTAAGCCAGTTTTCTGATTTTTATCCAGATTTCATTGTGGTTGCACACATAAAATCACAGTAGTAATATATACCTGGTCACAATTCATTAAGAGAAATTTTCAATAGCTTTACAGGTGTGTTAAGTATGGCTATCCAAAATATTTATATTCATCTAGAAACACTCTTTTACACTGCTTAGAGCTGTATGACAGGTGCATTCTCAGTCTTAAAAAAATGGCAGAATGTTCCTGCCCTATATGAGCATGAGATACATTTACAGTGCTTTTTAAGGGGGAGTGCCTCTCAGAAACACTCATGCAGCATCTCTCTGGAGCTCTGCCATTCTTGAGCTTTTAACTCACTGGCAGAATCAATGTTTGTTCTTCTGATCTCCAAATATTAACTTCCCTGATCTTGTTTTCTTTTCTGTTTTAGAGTTGATCTGCCAGGGGACCAGATAACTAAAGTAACACTGGGACGGCTGCATTTCAGTGAAACAACAGCAAATAATATGAGAAAAAAGGGGAAACCTAATCCTGATCAGAGGTATTGCTATAGCTAGCTGTGTGTTAGAAGTAGAAAAGAGAAGGTCTGCTTTAGAAAGGAGCCAATGTTTGTGAAAAATCTCTGCTATCAGATCTGTGGGTTTTTTTCCAATTCTGTAATACTTTTGTAACACTTGGTATGTTCTTAAAAGCCTCTTTCTCTGCAGTCACAGAATGATATGCAAATAAAATACCCCTAATTTTATCCTTGTGGTTAGAGATAGTTTCAGGAAATCATAGCTAGAATAATGGCTGACAAAATCAGGAAGGAAAAAATCCCAAATAATGACCATTTTCTTCTGAGGCAGGAAAGGCTTTCATCTTTGAAGCTTCATTACTTAAATTTGTTAATTTAAATTATTGTATTCTTTGCTAATTTGTAGTCATTGTGGGATTTGTAAGAACATATTTCTCAAGAGTGAAGGAAATATTTTTTATTTTATATTGAAAGAAACACATTTAAAAAACATGGTCTTTTTCTGTATCAATAATAACAGCTGTATTTAAAACATTTTTTCTGTGAGAAAGAATTACTTCAATTATTGTCTTGATTAAATCAATTTTAAATTAGATACTTCATGCTGGTGGTTGGACTGTATGCTGTATCTCAGGACCAGTTCTACTTACTATCTGCAAATGTCTCTGAAAAGATCATTGTGAGGGTAGGTATAAATTTGGATTGCTTTCATGTACAAGTATTTACTGTTTTGATATTCACAGGAGATTGAGGGGTCATGATTCTTGAGGATAAAAGTTACCACTGAGTAAAAAAGATTGAGGAAAAAATCTACAGTTGCATATTGTATGAGTATGTTATCTTTTAATTATCAGAAATTAAACATGTTATATGTAGTGCTATAGAAGGATTTTAAAATAAAGCTTGTTATGAGTTCCAATACAAAATATCTTGATTTTTCCAGATTTTTTATTTGCAGTGAAACAATTTACTTCACTTCCCAGGAATTTTGTAAAAGCTTTCATTAGCTAGAGTCTTCCGTTTCCAAGGAGGATGAGAAGGAAAAAGAAATGAAGGAAAGAAGGTCAAGCAGCTCTAGGAAGTTTAAGACCCATAGCTTCACTTTTCCAGTGTGCTTTCTAGCCCTCAGCTTATGGAGAGGAGCAGGCTTAGCATTTTGGCTTGGAGTCAAGCAAAGCTCTGGTGTATTAAGTGGAGCTGGGAAGATGCTTCTAAAGAAATTTGAGGGCTATCAAGAGCTCTTGGTCCTGGCATTATTTTGTGCAGGCCTTGCTTGCATACTTTTTGGCAGCCCATCATCTGCTTAGGCTTACGACTATGGTCTGGTTTAGCATTTGGGTTTGGGGAGAGCAAAAAGGCAAATTTCCAGCATGTGGGGTGTTGCTCAGGGGTTTCCAAAGGAAGATGGGGGCTTTCAGATGGTTTCAGTCCTGGCTCCTTCATCTGAGCATCCTCTTGTGCCATAAATCCTCTTTCTGTAGTTATAGCTAGGTTTTAGGGAGTGTTATGGCCTGGAGCTCCTTTCTGGGTGGAGCTGTGAAGAGACCTTGAAAACAATGTGTGGAGTTCAGCAGTTTTCTGCATGGCTGAGAAGTTTTATCATCCTGGCTGCTGCTGTGGTGTTTTTGCTTCAGCTGGATGCTGAAGCAGTGTGTTTGCATCATTCCTGTATATATAGTTATTTTCCTTTATTTGTCTATTAATTTCCACAATCCTGTTTTCATCTGATTTTCTTTTTCTGGATCTGACAGTGTTACAAATATCACATCATTAATAATTTGGGGACACTGTTGAATTCTCACAATGGTCTCATTCTTGTTACTTTACAAGATATATATTTTTATGTAAGATTTAGAAATTTACATTTTCTCACAATTTTTAATATTAGATTCTTTTGAAATTTCAATGAAGAGGGCTCCTTCAATGCATGTGAGACATGTTTTGAACAGGAATTCATGGAATGAAATTTTTCAAACCTGGCCACTATTTCAAACAGAGGAAAAAGAAGGCAGTAAGTCAGAAAGATCAAGAGGGTCAGGTCTGAAGTGATGAAAATATCAACAGGAAAGATGGAATGGAAAAAAAGAAATTTTCTAGCTGTCTAACAGGGCTTCAGTGGCAGGGTAGAGCAAATCAGCCACTGGCTACCTTAAGGTGGCAAAGCCATGCAAGTGCACTGTGAGGAAAAGCAGCTCATCTTCTGGCCCTTTATACACTCCAGCACAACAAAGCTACCAGCTGAGTGGTGCTTGTAAGGCTTATCAGATCATGCTCTAATTGTGACAAACAGTGGTGAGTACACAGTGCCAGGCCCTGTAGCTGGCAAAGCCTTGTGAAAGCCTGGCTTCTTTTTATCATGATTGTTGGCCTGAATTCAAATTAAAAAAAAAAAAAAAAACAACCCAGAACAACAAACAACCCAAAATGAACTATTGGAATAAAATGTCTTTTCTTGTTATACTCATTCTGTTGTTTTATTGGTGTTCTTTAAAAGTTTCCTTAACATGAAATTTTAAATATGCTATGAAATTTTCAATAATTTAAAACATTAGAGGATTTTATGAATCACATGTGTTTAATCTCTGCCTTGCTTTCACTTTTCTGATTTCCAGTCTCAGCTAAAATTTAGTGGTAGATAAAGAATGGTTATGTGGTATAATGTTAAAATTAAAATTTGGAAAGCTTTGGACATTGCCAATTTAGCTTAAGGTGCTAATAAAGTAGAATTCAAGGGAAAAAAGCACCAAGCTGGTGCCGTGTGAGCAGAAATCCTTAGAAATAACTCCACTCTGGTTTTTTCTGTTAGTGTGTTAAAAACTTCTTGAATACAATTTCAATTTTTAAGATCTGGCTTTTCATTTTCCCTGTATATCTAATAGAATAAACAATAGTGCATCTATGCTATACTGTATCTTTGATTAAAACATTTCCTTGCAGGCATCCAACCCAGGGCAGTTTGAGCACGACAGCGATGTGCTGTGGCAGCGAGGAGCCGCTCCAGAGACCATAGCGTATCACGGCCGCGTCGGGATTAACACAGACGCGCCGGACGAAGCGCTGGTGGTCTGCGGGAACGCCAAAGTGATGGGCAGAGTCATGCACCCCTCTGACAGCCGAGCCAAGCAGAACATCCGCGAGGTGAGGCAGGGCAACCTTTAGGGCCCCTCTGTGCGCTCTGCAGCACTGGGATGGATCCCTGTTCCCACACGCGGAGCTGTCGGGATCTCTTGCTGGTCAGAGTGACCCTGAGAAAAGTTAGAAAGTCTTTTCCCAGCCCAGGGCTTGAAGAAAGAGTCAGGGCTCTTCATTTCTTGGCCTCAAGGTTGTCTATTGTATCTTATCTATAAAATTCTTTCTCCTGTCCTGCCAAGGTCCGCTCAGCACAACAGTCAGAAGCATTCTGCCTGCCCCTGGGGCGGTGTTATCTTTTTATACTAAATACTATGTATACAATGTTTACAATTACTTTCCAATACCTATCACCTATGTTAGACAGTGAGCTTCTACTCTAAACCAATCTAAAAGTGCCAACATCGCAGCAGAAGATGGAGGCCAAGAAGGAGAAAGGCAGGACATGCCCAGATCCCTCCATCTTGCCCCCTGAACCTCCATTCTAGAAAACCCCAAAATCTACTTTTTCACCTTGTGATGAATTCACTATCATTGTACTTAATTTTTCATGGCTTGCAGATCTTCATCTAAGGCTGGTAACTTGCTCCACGGGTCATAATCAAAACCACAGGCATTTTGGGCTCTATGCCAGGGTCTCTGAAACCCCTGGCAGGGGTCTTGGCTGCTCAGGACAGCCAGCGGGATGTCCTGGGTCCTGACAGAGCAGCTCTGTATCCTGGCTGTGCTGAAATGCTGGCCTAAAGAAGGCAGATGTGCCATTGTGCTCTGAGAGCCATCACCTACAGACTTTGGAGAAGGCTCTCTGTGGAAGCTGGGAGTTGTCAAACAGAGGTGTAACTGGCAGTACAAATGCAAATGGCGCTCTGGTAGAGGGGAATGGGAAGATTGTCTGTATTTTTCTATGTGATGATTGGCCAAATGACTGTGTCAGGCCAGTTGCTCTCTCAGTGGTGTCCTAGATGTCATGCTTAATGTTTCAACACACAAATCTTGGTATTTTTCCAACTAGGTCGACACAAATGAGCAGTTGAAAAGAATAGCACAAATGAGGCTGGTGGAATATGACTACAAGCCTGAATTTGCATCTGTTATGGGAATAAAAGATACCCATGAAACAGGTATAAAATCAGCTCTCTTCCCATTTTTCATTAATACCTACTGATATTTATTGGGCCATAGTGTCTCTTAATATCCTGCTATTCCATCCTCATTTTTTAGTTTACTGCAATTTCCCACTGTTGTGTATCTCTTGTGGTGTAGAAATGCCAAAATTAGGTATTGCTTGTAATTTTATAATGTCTGTTTCAATTCTTAAAGATGGGAAGTTTATTTTCCAGAAATTTAATGAGAATGAAGTATGTGCTTACAAACTATTTTGTTCTCTCTGCAGAAAAATGAGAATTCTAAAGGCTCCTGGGGTTTTTTTGTGGAATGGAGAAAGAAACCAGAAACCCTGGATTTTCTTACCACAGAGAAATTCTAGATAGTTTTTTTTGCTTTGCCTGTAGTTTTTAGAATGGTAAGCAGGTATGCCAGTGTGTTTCCTGACATTAGTTTTTCTGAACTCCTGAACAGGAATAATAGCACAGGAAGTGAAGAGTCTTTTACCTGAAGCTGTTAGAGAAGTTGGAGATGTTGCTTGTCATGATGGTGAAAAAATAGAAAACTTCCTCATGGTTGACAAGGTATGGTCTTGAGGGAGAAAGTAGGGATATGTATTTAGACTATTCTTTCCTGTGGGGAGCTGTGAACACATGCTGTGCCCCATAAAAAGCTGTGGCCCCCCACATGTGTTACAGAAATGGTGTTCAGTGAATCATTGAAAAAAAACTGAACCACCAGCTGTTAGTAAAGGGCTGAATCTTTTAATAACAAGAAATATCTATATTAAAAACTGATTACAATACTATATACACATACAGTTAAAAAGTAAAAGCCCTAACTTTTCTGAATAGAAGTGGATAGTGATTTCATAGCATTGGTTCAACAAGTGCTACTCCAAAACATTATTTTGTGCTTAAGCATTTCAGTTAATTAAGTGTTCCACAAGTGAATGAGCAATGATGGCATTCAATTTGTTAAATAAAAATTTCCTGACTCTAATCCTGATATAACCTCTGAATAGCAAATACAAGTGCTAGCTCTGTGTGGGGGGTTTTTTTTGGGCAATCTGAAATGCTTTTTATAGGTTCAAAATCATATGCTATGAAATAGCACACAAAATAGTTACCATGCTCATAGGCTGGAAACACTGCTAAGGTACTGTCCTGTGCTCTCTTCTCCTCCTTTTCCTGTGGAAATACAACTGCAAGGGACTGTCAGTCACAGAGTCCAGTCACACAAGGCTGCAGACAGCACTTGTCTCAAGGCAGCCCCTCTGCTGAGTGCTGGTTCTTGCCAAAGACCATTTCCCAGCTTTTTCCCACTTGCAGCTGATGGTGAGAAGAGAGAGGTTTTAGGGAAAGGTGACCTTGTCTTGTCTGGATGATACCATGAACACAATCCTGCATTCATTGTCATAATGCATTCTTTCATTTTTCTATAGAAAACACAGGTTTACACCACCAAACTTGGAGAAAATATCTACAAAAATATTGCAGGTCACTTGTCACCTTTTGATAGGCTATAAATAATTGAAATTAAATATTCTATGTCTTGTATTCCATATAAAAGAAGTATGAATTAGATACCTTAAATAAAACTGTGGAAAGAGTATTTCTGGAGATACTGTGGAAAAGGAGACTTTTAGAAAATTTGCTCTATTTGGTCAGGGCTCCAGCCTGTAGTTGTTTTCTATGCTAGTAGAAGAGCAGTGTTGGTAGGTGACTCCAAGTTAATTTTGCCCTTTAGGCCTTCCAATTATATGGTATGACACCTGTAGCATCATTTGCATTTTTGAATGCCTCCAAAATTTCTTTGGGGTAGCCTGGTTTTTCACCTGGCAGAAGTTTAGGTTGGAGAATTGAGCTTTTGATTGATATCTCTTCCTTGCTGAAATATCATACAAAACACCAACTCGAGCAGTGCCTCACAGCGCTGCCATTTGTGCCCATCGTGTTCCCTTTCTTCTCTGTACCGTGGGTCTCTGGAGGGTGCTTGCCAGTGCTTCCAGGGATGTGATCTACAAATGGAGAATGCCTACTTTCTATTCATGCCTGTAGGGTGTGATTCTGCTGTGTCTGTGGCCCAAGCAGGAGTGGATTGTTACAGCAATGGCTTACTTGCTGCTTATAATTTTCTTGACTACCTGTCTAGATCTGGGTCTGAGATTACTTCACAGGCACTTTGGTGTTTTAATATGGTCAGGTGAATCTGTGCTTTCTCCTCTTTCTCCTAACAGTTGTGGTAGAGCATATGAAGGTCAATTCCATGACCTTTGGGGTGACAGGATCAAGAGAGATCTGTGTCTAAGTTTAAGATGTATATTGAATGCAGGGATTTGTAACATTTCTTGTTCAGGTGGAACATCTGATTTAAATTTCTGAAGCTCTCAGCTCCAGAATAGCTCAGCAGCTTGAATAGAAAATGGACAGTGCTTCATTTTCTTTTTTTTTTTTTCAATTTGGCAGGTGATGAGACCTTAAACTTTGTTATCTCATATTCCAAGTTGATATCCAGATAAGTAGGGTGTTGGCTGGTGTTGTGTCTCTTTGTCAGGTTGTAGCTGTTGATCTCTGTAAAACTAATTGATTACATTACATTTGAACCAGGGTCTGCTGCTTTCTAGAGAAATGTCTCAACTATATGCAATTTGTTTTTTTGAGACAGAATCTTTTCTTCTCAGTCACACTGTGCTCAGTACTTTGTCACTAGAGGGGCAGTAAAACTCTGATCAGGTTTCTTCCTTCAAATAGAGTGTTTCTTCATTTTGTGAGAAGAGCAATTTTCTCAGCTAGTTGGAGCAATTCATGCTTGATTTGAAGACATTGGAAAGGGCAGCTGCTGTGTATCATTGATACAAGCATCCATATAAGTGATTTCACAGTTCTAGTTACAAGAGATTATTTTGAAGTCACTTTTTATTTAAATGGGCTCTTGGTATTCTGGCAATAGGGAAGCTTGTGATTTGCCACTGATAGTGTTCTCTGACTCTGATTGCATGAAATGCTGTCTGATTTTGTGGAACGCAGTCACCTTTAAAAGAAAGGTGTGCGTGGCTTTTGCAATGTGAAAGGCAAAACTGCTTTCATCTTCTGCATAACTTGACTTGACTGGAACACAGCAACATTAACTGCAGAAATAGCTTCATCCAATGGCACCAGTCTGGTTGGACTTTAGAATGAGAAAGCCATTCTTTCACACAGCAAACAAAGTACTCTTATACTATTCTCCTGCAGTGGATCAGTAACCATTTTTGACTCAGAAATGAATGAAATACTACCTGGATGATTATACTGAGGGCATTTCCAGCAGCAGATTGATACCTAGATGATAAGAAGGGGTAGGAGAATAAGAAGCTTTTCCTGGGTAAAATATCCAGAAAGAGTAAATGGAGGGTGTCTAAACTGTTTTAATTGCAGAGATGATCATGTTATTAGGACCTACAAGATTCCTGTAAGATACTGAAGAGGCTGAAGGGGAAAGCAAAATTTTACACAATCACAGCTTGATATCTGGTTTGGTTTTTAATCTGTGTCACTCATCTCTGTGTGATTAATATTATGTGTAAAACATGGATAGAAACTCTGATTTGTCTGAGCCTACCTAATGCGGTAGGAAGATGGTTGGATGTGCATTTTGCTAAGGGATTCTAAAATCTATGTTCAGCTAAAGCACTGAAAATCAAGTAGTAGATGTCTGTTGGAACAGTTTTAAGGTTCCAACATGGTATGAAGGTAAAATACAGTTTAAATTCTTGGTACAAAAAGCCCTTTGGCTTCAAATTTTTCTGCAAGTCCTCATTTTCAATTTACTGCAAATTAAATGTCTAGCAAAAGTGTTTTCTGGTCATACATGCATCCCATCTACAGTGAGATAACTTGTGTTTATATAGTTGAATTCTGCACTAATTTCTGCTTGTTACACCTGATTGGTGAATATACTATGTATCTACTAATTTTGTCATTGTTTTCTTCTCAGGATCAGATCTTTATGGAGAATGTCGGTGCTGTAAAGCAGCTTTGTAAGCTAACAAACAATCTTGAAGTCAGAATAGAAGAATTGGAACAGTGGAATAGGAAACTGGCCAGGCAGAAACGGATCAACAGTTTAAAGTCAACAGTCAGTGAAGAGAGCAAAGTCAGGTACCTCTGCCTGGGATGTTGTCTAATTGTTGTCACACAAGTTGTTAAAGTGATCTCTAAAGTGATAGAAGGGAAAACCAATTTTGCTTGACAGTAGGGTTCAGCTATTTTCCAGTATTTAAGTTGTGCAAAAGACCCCAAATGTCTCAAATTGTTTTTAATCACTGATGAAATTAATCTTTGAAATGGCTGTTAAATTGCAGTAATTTTTGTAATAACTTCTGTTGCATAAAGTAAAGGGTAGATTATGTCCAGTTACAGCTCTGGGACTTAGAAAATTGCTTCTAAAGCAAATCTGCAGAGCTTCTTCTGCAAGAAAGAATCTTCACTGATGCTTCAGTGGAAGTGATGAGTTTTTCCTGTTTCTAAGCAATTTCCCCAAGTTTTCTTTCTTCCCAAATCAAATGTAGCATTTAAGAGCATTCACCTGAATGAGTTAACTGGAACATTTATCCTTGAAAATGAATCTGCTAACACTTCTGCCTTTCCCTTTATAAATGTTAAAATTGCAAAAGCAAGTGACATTAACATGTTAAAAAAGTCTTTTCTTCATTAATTACTTGCTGAAGCATTTGAATGTTAAAGAGATCTTGTCTCTTATAGCAGGTATAGTCGAACTAATAGTCTCTTGCCATCAATAAAATCAGTCCCACTAAAATCCAGGAAGGTGAGTGAAATGAAATCCTTGTCTGAGTCATTCACTGTGATTTGCTTTCACTTTCTCTTGCCTGTATTGTGGTATGGGAAGTGGATACCCCTTTTCAAAGGGATCATATGAGAGAAGAAATACATATATTGACCTTTTTCAAGACAGACGTCCTGGGGTGCCAAGCCCTGTCCTTTAATATGAACCAATGCTCATTTGACTACTTTGCTTTTGCCAGTGCCAAAGAGTAAGAGAAAATAATAGGTCAAATGTGCTTTATACCATAATGACAGTCAAATGCTCCATCACCTAAGATTATCCTACTTGTTTGGAAAGTGCCTTTCTTCTGTATTTGTACCAGTCCTGCTTTAACGTGGTCTGAGCACATACTGAAAGCTGCTGAACTTTTAGTTCTGGACACTTACTGAGTTCTTTATTTGATTTTGAAATATTTCAAAAGTATGAAAAATGGCAGGAAGAAAGGACAAGGAACTGTTATTTTTAGCTATCTTTTCTTCCTCTATGTTTGTGCCCCCAAACTATCAACAATGCACAGTGACTGACAGTCTTAGAGACCTTTTAATTTTCTCTCTGTAGATGTTGACCCCCATATAAGGGTGATCATGAAAGAAACAAGGATGATGTAAAGTCAACCCAGTGTAGTATTTCTTAATCTACAAGTAGTTGCTTAGACATGTGCCACTTGAATTAACCAAACTCTTTTTTTACCATAGGTTTGTTTATCAAAGACCAAAGAATCTTGCTCCGTGAAGATTTTCCGGGTGACTATAATAGCTTTGATTGCTATTATGGCACTATGGTAAAAATTAATTAACAATAATTTGACTTGTTTCTCCCTTCCCCTTTCTACTTATCTGAAAGACTATAGCACTTTTTCTTCTTCTTTTCTCTTCCTACTTGAAGAACACAATGTATTAAAATTAACAATTAATATCCTTGGTTGCATTGTAAAGTTGAAACCATTGTATAAAAGTAAGGTACTCATGGGATGGACACCCAACTGATCTCTCTCCATGTCACAATGTATGGTGCACCTTGAGTCTACCTCAGTGGCTTGTACTACAGGTGCTAAACTGGACTCTGCATGTTTTATCCAATCATTCTGTGCCTAAGTACAATTTCTGATGTACAGAGTGATTCTGTTGTGTGAAATGAAGTTGAAACTGTTCCCACTGTGGTGGGCAGTTATGTGACTGGAAGTTCAACTTGTGACATTGGACTTGTGGAAAGGAAAGTGTGCTCTGGACTCCTGAGATTGCCATTTTCTGTCTCCAGTCCAAAAACTTGTGGCTTACAATCAATCTCTTTGCGACCTGAGTACTTTGAACTGGTAGTGTGATTCTATTTAGGTTGGAAAGTGGCTGTATTTTGTGTTGAATACAAGTATAATGAACACAATACTGTATACAAGTATCTGATCTAAACCCCATTAAATTCAGCTGAAATTTTTCCCACTAAAGGGAAAGTAATCAGATAGTTAATACTTGTATCACTGCATTTCCCCACAATGCTGTCAAGGTGTTATTCTTTTTGTGTTGCATAAAAGATGGATGTAAATCTGCAGAACAATTCTCTTTCTACAGTGCTTTGGCAATATGGAGCCTATATTTACTTAGCATTCACGACAGACGTTTTGAAAAACATCCAGTTTACAGGCAAGTAGTTAAATTACCATTAGTGAATTCAAATTAGTAGAATCAGTAATAGACTGTGGATCAATTTGTTTTGGTCCTCAGCTCTAATGTCCATTTCTTAATGAATTGTTTTTCTTCCTCAGCAGCACCTCAAGTCCTGTTCCAGTCTCTCCCTCTACTACCACAGCAGGTACTGTGTCTCTGCTGGTCTGCCTACACATAATTGGCTATTATAAAATGCCAGTATGCAGCCTTTGTGAGAATTATATTTTGGTTTTTTTGTTGTTGTTTGCTTTTTTTTAGCATTACAGAGTGAGAGCACAGTTTCTCAGACCACACAGCCCATCAGCAGGATCCCTGAAGTGAATTTCTGTGGCATTTTATCTTGTGACAAGGTCTATTGTTGTCCAATTCACCAACCAAAAGTCAAATCTCTAAGCTATGAAAAAAATAATGCAAAGGGAAAACGTAAGTTGAAAATATAATTCTTTATAATTTGAGCAGAGACTGTATGGAAAGTATGGGGAAAGGGGCAAGAATCTTTAAAGGTAGTTAGCTTTCTACAAAAGAGCTCATTCCAGACGATTTAAAAAATCTTGATATAACTAATCATCACTGCAGTCAATATGTTTTTGAAATATCCAGTCTGGTTACCCTTAAGAACTCGGGGCCCTAAGATGTCCTGTCTGCTGTCACTGTTTTTCCTGGCCATTCTTGGTAAATTATTTGATGTGAACTGGAATATCACTAATCCATTTAATTGACCTTTGGCTACGGCTGGATGTGAGTTGATTAGGGGTAGTAGAGAATTGATTAACAGATGCAAAAACCCCCAAAAAATGGAATTGTGTCACAATGTGGTGGTACTACATCTTTTCCATGGGCAGAGACAAAATGCCAACTGCCTGCAAACATAAAACTTGCAGTTAAAACTGATTATTAAGGCAGGAGTTTTGAACAGTAGTATTTGAAGGCAGAGCTCTATAAAATAAAATACTTTTGCTGGAATTCATTATTTTACTGATACTGTCTGTCAGGTGTTGTATGCATAGTGTCTGTGAAGATGCATTGTTTACAACTTTTACAATATTTATAAGAAAGGGTTAATGCATAAAGGTATTAATAACTTGTGGGAATCTATATTCCTCTCTCCCAGTCCTTAACACATCCAGTGTCTGGAAGCAAGTGTTAATGTTACTAAACCAGCATTCACACTCTTCCTATCTTGGCCTTGGGAGCAATTCTTGCAGCACAGTTGACAAAGTGAAGTGAAACTGGGGCTGGATGCAGTTCAGCCTCTGAAGTACAGATGTCTGCCAGGGCAGGCTTTACCAATTGCCGTGACACTGTGAGCATGAACTGTTCCAGTGGGATTCGCCCACTGGCCATTCTGTACTCTGCAGACAAGCTGTATTGAGTGGTCCTTGTGATTCCTGTGATCAGTGCTGCAGTAAGCCCTGTGGCAGATAAAAACCAGCACAGCTTTCAAGAGGTCATACCTGAGTGATTTGTATTGCTCTGAAGCCTGAAAGAGTGTTGATTAATTAAGAAGACATTAATCTCATTTATAAATAAGGGAATCGTAGATGGATGAAAATGAAATATGAAAACCTTCTGTCCTCAGCTGGCTGCTTCTGATATTAGGTGGAAAGAGAAGATAAGAATAAACACAAAGCATTACCTTCTCAAGGTTTTATGCTCCAAATAGCATTAAGAGTGGATCCAAGAGTGAAAAATCAGCACAGTACACATGCTACTGAAAGATTTCAGTTCTGCACAAGTTTAATGAACCTGAATATATTCCCAGATGGAAGGTAACAATATCAATATGAAATCCAAACAGAAGGAAAACCACAAGCTGTTTAATGTAGCTGTAGCCAAGACAAATGAAAAGGAAAATGTTTTCAGAAAAAAAGCTAAGCATTAAATATGGGGAATAATCATGATAAAAAGTGGATGCTTTAGAATCAGCTGATTAGTCTGATTCATGGAAAGGTAGAGCTGTTTGAAATTGCAATTAAATTTAATACTAATTTAGGATTTACTACAGACCTTTTGCTGCTCCACATGCAATACTTGAATTCTGTGGGTGCAGACTACTGCATACATTGTAGCTCTTAATCCTTTGCATCCCAGAGCTGTTGATGAAAAGGCTGTTTGGAAAGCTCAAGTAGAAGCAAAAGCACTCATAAGCAAGAGAAAAATTATTAAACAAGAACTCAGCACATCTTTATGTCACCTAGCTTAATGTGACCTTTTTTCCTCATATTTTTTTATTTAACTGATTTCTCTGGCGGGTTTAGGCTTCAGAACTTCCATTGATTTCAGTGGGATTGAGGAATGTGAATACCCTTCAGTGTTTGGGCCTTTTCTGCTCTCTGCTTCCATGCCATTAGTGCTCACTGCTCTCTCCTTAATGTTAAGTGCCACCAATAACCAGGAGCTGTCCTTACTTGTTGCTTCTCCCCAGAGTCTCTCCCGTCACAATAAAAGGTTGGTGAGAGCTCCTGCTGGACTTTGGTCAGCCTCAGGCATTTCCATTTATTGCCTTCAGAGGGCCGTTAACAGATTCATAGTAAAGTACCACCACCATGAGAAACCATCAGTAGATTTTTCCCACGCTGCTTATGGAATATTAACACTCACTTGAATTAAAACCATAGAGTATTTGAGGAGAGAAAAAAGATACTGCATTTATTGGATGAGTTTTTCTTAATCTTATATGAAGATGATGGTTTTCCTCATTATATTCTTGCCATGCTTGTAGTTCTATATTTGTTATTGAATTGGATCTTCCCAGCCCACATGGGCCTTTGAGAAAGCCCTCAGTGTTACTATATGTGAAAGAGTGGAATTTTATTTACAATTTATTTAAGGTTGCTGTGGTGCTTTGTGGTAGTTCTTGGTGTTCTCAATTGGCACCTTGTATTCAAAATTTAGATTGCAATATCTGAAAGAACAATGAAATGGTAATTCTATGATGAGTAAAAACTCAAGTGAAAATAAAGTTCTATGCTGGTTACCGACTTGGTCTAAAATCTTAGTGAAGTAAATCTGTCTTTGTCCTGGTTTTTGTACAAAATTCTGATACTGCTTAATGCCTTCTTCCAACACCTGCAAAAGAATCACAATTTTAAGTGTTTACTAATTCCAAGTTTTAATAAATCTTCCTACCAACACTTGCATGAGCTGAACAGTTTTATCTCCATAGAGCAATCTTTTACCTCCACTAGGGGATATAGGTTTTCTACAGAATAGCTGTCTCTGAATGAAAATACAAAATTACGGTGTTTAATGCATTGCTAGCATAACTGGACTATTAAGAGAAGTCAGGAGGAAATGAATGTGTGACTTAGTTTGTGAGTTAAAGGGAGGAATGAGAGAATGAACAGGCTTTTATTAGATCTGCCCCAAGATGACTGTACTGTATAAGTGATTGCATGTGTTCAGTAGCCATTTTACTAGGCGTGTGGAACTGTGCAATGAAATGGGACAGCAGATGACTGCTAAATGCAGCAGTTACCACCACATCTGGCAGAACCTGTAGATCCGTATGATGAGTTACTAAATAGGAAATGAATTCAAGGAATAGCTGGCAGCAGTATGAGAGTTTTATAAAAAACACAAGACAGATTAAAATCTCAAAGATGATTTTGTATTACATTGCTTCTGGGCCTTTGGATTCCATTTCTTAATGTTGCTCCATGCTCTTGGTAACCTACTAGCATGAGAAAAGTCTGGATTTTCTTATTTCCCAATACTGAAATGAAATCCAAATCTGGAGTGAATAAGAAAACAAAAAGGTCAATCCAGCTGTCTTGCTTCAATCTCAGTAATAATGCATTTTGATCCCTGCTTCCTATCATGAAACAGTCATTCTGAAATCAGAAAATTTCCTTTGGAAAACATAGTAATGGAATATTTTGGTATTCTAGAAATGACATTCGATGGAGCATGTTAATTTAGGCAATATCAGGATTTCCCAGTGCCAGTTTCCTGGTAACATGTCCGAACAGATCCTTAGCTGGCAAGCTGTGTAGAGGCACAGGAATAGCATTAGACCATTACCCAAGGGCCTGAAGGGCCATTTGCCTTCCCCAGGTTGTACTATATGATGGTTATTCAAAAGATCTTTAAAATTCACTTTTCTAGGCAAGTGTTGAGCAAATTAATAGAATAACAATTAAAAACAGAAGTCATCAGCTTATATTACACAGCCTAGTTCCATGTTTGAAGTTACAGAGGTGATATCAGTGAACATGGGGATCATGCTGTTAGAGACATGTATTAGCTTTTTAAGTTTGGTTATGCATCTTCTCTCTGTAGTACTGGCTCAGTCCTCAGTATCTTTACAACACACATTCAAAAATCTAAGTTGTTCCCTCAGCCTGTATTTAGGCATACCAGATGCCTAAATACAGCCTGTATTTAGGAATTATAGGCATACCAGATGCCTATAATTCCTAACACTATTTTCTCACTAACAAGAAAGATGTGACTTTATGTTCAGATTTGTGCTGAAGTGCCTGGCTGCATATTGACTTTCAGCTTGGCTCTCTGTTATAGAAATTGGTGATGTTCTCTGTGTGTGATGAAGTCTTTTCTATTAGGCTATGGTTTGGAAATGTTTTTGATATTCTGTAGATTTCAAAAACTTGTTTCTTGTTATCTGAAACTTATTTTAACTGTGTATATCTTCTTCTGAATGGAGGTGCTTTGTATTTCAAAGATCTCTCTCGTGGTTATGCATATCTATTCAAGAGATAATTAACAAAATTATCTTCTGGTTATGTATGGTATACTTTGGAATACACTTTGCTGTTACAATTGTGCACGGCTGATTTTGGTGATGTTTGTACGTTCACCCTTTCACAGAAAACAAAAGTGACATGTTACCCAAACGAGATTCCATCAAAAAACCTCGTGGAAGACCTGATCTTGGAAATGACTGTAAGTTCTATATTTAAATGAAAAAATAAAAGTTTACTTGTATAACTTTCAAGATCTACTTTTAGGCTTTGAATTCTACTTCTGGAATTTAGGGAAGTTTCAGTTGTAATTCATCATTATAGAGAATTACCGCTTGTGAGTCTACTTCCTGTGAACAACAGGAAACCTGTGATTCACTATAATTTTCAGTTTATTCTTACATCTTCATTAGATTTTTATAGACAGTCTGACTGCCCTCTCTAGAGAGTTCTTAGGCTTGGCTTCAGAAACAATAAAATGACAAGTGGCATTTTCCTTGACAGGAGCTAAAATCTTGTGCTTAAGGATATGAATGTGATATTCACGTGCAGGAAACTCATGATACAGTGTGAAGGAAGTGCTTGGGGTTTGCCTCATCTCACCTAAGGGATTAAAATGTCAGCTGCTCAAAGGGGCCATCCCTACCTTCAGATCCTAACACTGCTTTCAGAGGAGATGAAATTAAGTTCCTTGACACAGAAAATTTGGCTTGATTTCAGGTTCCCCTTTTAGTGACTGTGCACTGCTGTCAGAGCCAGTCTGGGCTGAAAATATTGATTCTTTTATGTAAAGATGAGTATCTGCTGACTACATATGTTATAACAGCATGCTCTGGCATTCATTCAGTATGAGCAGGATTATGCCTTGTGTCTTTTCGGTTTATGTGGATCCTCTGTTTTAAGGCTTGGTTGTTTTTGGTTTTGGTTTTTTTAAATAAATATTTGATTAAAGAATAGGCAATATTTGGATGATAAAACATCTAGACTTAGACATCTAGACCATGCACTTAAAGCAGGTGAGGAATAGAACACAGATTCTGCTTGTTGCTGGGATGTGCCCCAGTGGGATGATCTGGGAAAAAATCATTCCCCTTCTGATTTTTTGCATGTGTACACACACCTCAGATGAGTTCAGCAAGGATTTGGACAACACTCTCAGACACATGGTGTCTACCCAAGGGAAAAACAATGTTACCATGGCTATATTCATCATCTATCTGCAATATATTACAAATCTCTTGCAAAAAACAAAGTTCTTGCAAGTTCAAGGCAACATTATATGAAGAAATTATGATTTTCATTTAAGTTGGGTAATTTTCTTCCACAGGGAATTAGAAAAAATTTTTGTTGCATTCCGTATTATTCCTCTCAACAAAGATGAGGTTTTTCAACTTTATGGTTACTTGAATGGGTATGACTTCTAGCACATGAAAATGAATATTGACACATTTGAGTTTTACTTGGGTTGCCATCAAAGTAGCCTTCAACACCTGTGCAAAAGAAAATGGTGCAATGTTAGGTTCCCAGGATATTCGTCCTTGCAAACTGAACAAGGTTCTTATCTGCCATGGCACAATGATGGTAATCAACCAGAGGCTTTTAACCGAGTGCTGATTTGGACCTGGAGCAAGTCCTGTAGTGGCAATCAAGGCAGTAGACTAACTGCAGTTTTACTATGCTCTTATCTATTATTTCTGAAATAATCAAGAAAAAAATTATTCTTCTTAATATTTTAGGGATTGATACAACAGTCAGTTCCATACAGATTTTGCAAACTCAGCAAAGCATTGACAACCGCTATTGTAGTAAAAATCTGCAGTGCAGGTAGGAGAAATTTTAATAATTATTATTTTATTATTTAATAAAATAATAAAAATAATTGTTTTATTTTGCTGTAGTAGGATAAAAGACCTAATATTTTTGTGGTCTGGCTGCCTGGCTGGCTTCTGCTCACAGTTATTTCCTCTCGGATGCAGTAGTCTTTGACATTTTTTAATGTTTTTTTCTGTTTAAATTTAAATTCAATTTCCATGTTTTGAGGAAGATACTGTGTATATCAAAATCCCATGTGTATTAATACATCCTTTTTCAGCTCTGGAAACTACAGCTATGTTATTCCTATTAACAAATACACGCCCATGGATGTAGAAATCTCACTGGAAATAAAGTAAGTACAATTAAAAGGAATACATGCAAAAGACAACGGTGGTTCTTCATTTGATAGAAATTCTTGCCTGATGCTTATTGCTACACAAATCCATCCTGTTCAGAGGAGGGGGAAAAATGTAGTGCACAACTAAATTGTTAATGTAGACCTTTTGGGTAGATTCCTTGCTGTTGCATAGGTCCAATACGACTCTCAGCTCAAGGAAGACTTCACGTGATGTTGCAGGTATTGAAATCCAGAAGTCTTGAGCTTCACTCCTAATAAGCATTTGGACAGACACATATGTCTTGTTGGCAGGATTGTGGTCTCTGGCCTAGGGATCAGAGTTTTCTTTTGTTGTAGAGAAACGTTATTAGGAACATAACATGAGTAACTCCAGAGAGTGCCTTCTTGGGGCTGTTGTGCCAACACTGTGAAAGGGGGGTTCTTGTGCAGGAACTTCTGGTGTTTCATAGAATTGCGACTTACAGCAGGGAAAAGCAGCAGACTTATTCCTTTCAGCAGCTTTTTCTCCTCAAAAGCCCACCTCCACCATGTTCTCCCAGAGGGAACAAGTAATTTATTTTGGAGTTTTATTCTGAGAAAGGCCAGCACTAGCCAGACCAGCTGCCAATCAATCTGCTTCACAACAGTTCATGACTTCCATGTCTGCAACAAAGGACTTGTCCAGTCTTTTGATCTTCAATGTTATCCCTGTAAACATCTGCATTTTTCAAATAAGATGAAATATAACAGTACCCCTGAAGTGTCTACTTGTTTTGTACAGCCACTGAAAATTTGTCTTTTAAATGCATGCCATTATAATCCAATAGTATAGCACTCTCATGTAGGGATTAATACATCATATTCAGAGTTTCACTGAGTATGACTGTATTTTGAATATTGGTTTGTGGTTTGGGAGCAACTGATTTTATTTTTAATAAAGTCATTTATCCTTATTTTTCTCTGTTTCTTGAAGCACCACAGAACCATTAATTATATTTCTCTGCAAAGTCACATTTGGAAATTTTTGCTCCCATTATTCTTCCAGCCAAAACAGTAGGAAGAATTTCCAAGAAACCACACAGGTAAGACTTGTATAGCAATACTCTGGGGTTTGGGAAAAATTTTTATGAAATTAATGGCTGCAAAATTCTGATCTTTGTTGAAGTACTAGAAATCCAAATGCTGTTACTTTGAGTCTGTCAGTCATGGCTGGCTTTGGCATGACCATAATGAGATGCAGTCTTTTTGTTGTAGTCAGTTTTCTGCTGACTTTTATAAAAACCTGTCCAATAATTCTCTGAAAGGACAGTTTTGATTCTACTTCAGACTAAGCCACCACTACAACTCATTATAACTCCAGAGAAATGGGAGTAATTTATCACTCAGAGCTTTAGAAGAGTCCTCCAACCTCTCATCTACTTTATGGCTTCTATTATTATTTTATGTTTAATTAATTCCAGTTTTAAAGTCTAGAATTTGCTGGTAACAATGGTAGTGTTCTGCTTTATTTCTGTGTGAACAGGAGCTTAAAGGTAAATCCCTTAGGGAAAATTCTTCATTTTAAAAGCAAAATTGTTTATGTGTCATTCTCTGGATTCCCTCAATGGGGATAAAATCTAGTGAAACAGGGTGGCTTTTCCCAATAAAAAATATTTAGTGACCAGGTCTTGCAAATCTTGAAGCACCTCCAGTAAAGTAAAGAAGGCTTTAAACTTTCTTCAGGTTCCCTGAACATACAGACCTCCTTCAAGGCCCTCATTTGTCAATGTTTGTTTAGAAATGTCTATTCTGTGTAAAACAGTAGGAAAGGCAGAAGCAATGATAAATAGCATTTCTGAACACATTGTAGCAGAAACATCTCTGAATTTGGAAGTAATTTCCAAGTTCTTCTGGAGAAGAGTCTTCAGAATTCTGATCTATGATCCCATACATAACATGTTTTTAATTGATTTTGTTTGTTTGTTTGTTTTTTGGTTTTTTGTGCTTAGTCAGATTACAGCATTTGAGATACCTCCAGCTGACTTTTTGCTCAACTTTTCAAATGTCTTTGCAAAAAGTTTCAGGATTCTTTGTAACAGTGGCATAGTCATCCAAAAGCTCAAATTTTCCAAGTTTTGACCTGTCTGCTGTAATTTCAACAGAATTGAAATTAAGTCAGACTTAGAGAGTTTCACAATGCAGAAATGTCCTTGAAGCTTACTGACAAAACTGGCCAAAGAGATTTCCTGTGTCAACCTGAAATCCATATCAAAAGACTAAAGCTAACTAGCCTCCAGCAGCAGTGAGCTTTCAGATTTGATGTGACTCAGCTGCCTAGTTGGAGAGGTTTCTTTTAAGAAGATTTTTCTAGGGATGGGAAGGCTTATTCCCTACCAAAAGGCAGAACAGCAATCATTTGGACTCACCAGTCCCACATAAGTTTTGTCATGTGAACATATTGTCTCCAGCAGAGAGGATGTGTCAGAAAGTGAAGTGAGGAGAGAAAGATGAAGGAGTTGAGACACTAGGAATATAAATTACCATGGATCATTAGGTGAAAGAGAGGTGAGGATTGAATTTTGTTTCATTCAATTTAGCATAAACATTTCAGGTACAAAATATGTTGTTTCACTTTTGCATGGCAGAACACTGTAATAAAAAATAGCATGAAAACTTGCAGGTATCTGCTTTTGAAATAGTGACTGAAGACTCTACCTGTATCTTTAGAATATATGGAGGAAATTCTGTCTTCTGAGCACTGCTAAAGTTCCGGTCCCAAAATCAGCAGAACTGCCATTTGCTAGTATTACAAATTAAAGCTCTCAGGTCACCTGGCATATCAGGAACAATCCCTATTTTTGGGGCATTGGCTTAGAAAATGAGTGAGGGAATCCATTTATTCAGAGCCAGCTGAGTGTCGCTGGGAGTCAGATGCCTACCAGTTCTCCTCCATGTGGAGCTGATCAGAGTAAACCACATTTGCAGGGTTTAAAGTCAGCACTTGATCTTTAAATACATTTGCCTGTAGTTATCACGTCTCGATATCATGATTACCTTGTGCTGCATTTGTCAATGAAACATTTCCAGAGTCTGTCCTTCTCTCCAGTTTCCCCTGGAATGAGGTTATCTGATCTGTGTCTCATTTGTCCCCTAGGGACGGCAGCACATTTGGGCTCTCCCCGTAGCTAAGCTGTATGACAGCGCATACTCTTTCCGCGTGGCCGTGCCGGTAAGCCTTTCCAAATGGCAACGTGGCAAAAGACAAATAGCACTTGAACTGAAAGAAGTTCCTCTATCAACCTCCTTTATTTTTCTTTTGCAGGGTTTTGCTAGCTGCTCAACAGACCGTTACTTTGCTGGAATGTTTTTTACTGATTATTACTTCTACTTTTATCGGCAGTGTAATTAAAATGTTGCGAAATATTCTGTTCTTTGGGGAAAAGATGAGGAAATGCTTAATATGTAAAAGAGACGTGAAAATAATCCTGGGTATTTTTTAAAACTCTTTCTGGGTTGTATGGGACTTTCTTGGGTTTTTTCACTTTTAAATTAAAAAAAAAAAAAAAAGTAGAAAAATAAAGTATTAACAACAACCATAGCTCTGCAGTTCCAGAAACTGTTTCTAAAAAGACACGAGGTAATGGAGTATATGATGTTGTTGTGGGTGGAGTAGGAGCTTCAAAGCTTATTCGAGAAGCCTTCCCATTGACTCACAGGGTGCAGAATGACCTCTGGTTTTCTAAACTCCTCAGAGAGGAGTCTGGGTGTGGTTGGTTCCAATCTCGGCCCCAGACTTGTTTAATGGTTTAAGTCTAAGGAATTATACATGTCTGATTGAACCTTTGTACAATTTTGTCATGCAGAATTAAGAATAGCAAGCCAGATGTATCAAAATGAATGATTTATTACAATAAATGATTAGACAAAAAGATCTTAATCAGAATTACTACATGGTATGAAAGCTAACACTGCTAGTATAGTATATGATAATATATTATATTAAAGCAACAGTATTAAAGTCATCAAAAAAGAAACAATTATTGAGTAGAGATCAATGTTACTCACCCATACCAATGATGGTGGGCAAATATCTTTAGTTCACCTTAAGAGGCATCCCCACCCAAGGGAGGAATCTCCACACACGCTTCAAGAAGGAGTGTGCTAGAAATCCCTGCCATTTGGCACTTTTATACTATATCTATATATAAGCGGTACTCTTATAGTATAAAGTGGCTCACTGTCAGCCATATGTCTCCATATGGTTATGGTGAAGTCAGCTGTGTCAGCTCAGCATCTTTAGATAAGGATACTTTACATATCTGCCACACCTTCACCTCACTATCAGGATGTTTAACTTTGGAATTGATGAGTCAGATTTGGTTTTGTGTAATTTTGCAGCAAAAGCTGCATGACACCTCCTCTCAGTTCACCAGTGATATCTTTGAAACGTTGCATTGCTCAAATCTTCACTGCATCCCAGACAGAGTATCCTGCTACAGGTGTGTAAATAAAATTATTGTATGGATCATAGAGAAGTTATATGATATTGTATGTACAGCAGACAAGAGCAAATGGGTAGGAACAGCTGAGCTGAGATGCCCTTAAGTTTTCAGAAAATGGGAAGATTATTAAATTACTTTTTAAAAAAATATTATTCCTTTGCAATAAGGAAACCTGCTTCTGTCCTATAGGCATGCACCTTCTTTTATTATCTGCTGCCCTTTTTTAGATATAAATCCTTTTTTTTTGCTAACAGAACCAAAATCAACCAAAACTCTAAAAGAGAAATGTAGCACTCTGCAAATGCCCTCTAAAATAAGTGTAAGTTAGGGAACAACAGGTCAGTTCAGTTGTCTAATGTTTCCATTTCAGAAAGCAGTCCCATCATTACCACCACAGCTGTGTGATTTAACAATGCTACTGCTATTTCAATGAGTTTTTTTCCCCCTCTCAAACAGGAATGAACTATTTACTACTAAATTCAGGTCATATTTTTTCTGGGTGTTTGTGATTTGTGTTAGATTGATAAAAGAATAGAAATATTGAAAAGAAGAATGTCTTGCCTTCATGGATTTCTACGTTGCGTGTGTATACACACCTGCATGGGAAAATTCTTTCTATTTATATCTTGGAAATACATTTTTAAGGAAGAGCTATTCAAATGAAATTTTACATTAGTTGCTCAGAAAGAAATCAGATATAATAATCAGCTAAAGTGTAAATAGTGTTGTAGGGTATGTTTAGATCAATCCTTTTTTGCGTAGAGAAGAGAAAGTAAATATAATAGACTGACTGTAGGCTTTTAAAGATTTATGGTATGAAAGCTACATTTGAACAAGTGTCCTCTGAATGAAATTATTTAGCAGTGAAAGGGAAACATTAGGAAGAAAAATTAATGTCTAAAAAAGACCTTGCCACAGTCTTTGTAAACACCAGTGTGCCTTAATTATGTATTTATTGCCTGACAATGTGATGGGAGAGTTTAATTTGTTTCTCTGCCTTGATTTGGCATTTCTTTTGTCGCTATTTTGGGATTTCCTTTAAGAATCTCCTTCTCACTGAATTTTTTTTTAGATGCATGTGCTTAGTTGGGGTCAATTGCAATGTCTGGCTTCTTTTCCTTAAATAACTAATTTGTAGGTGTAAGGGTTTTTCTGTGGTGTGGACTTTTTTTTTTTCCTGGGAAGAATTTGTGGTGTAAACCAGTGTTCTATAATATTCCAGAGACTAACTGGTGTTGGAACCGTAGATACAAAATAATCTGAAATTTGTGCCTTTAATTTTTTGTAGTCCATACTGGAGGGTAGAGTCAACTTGTCACAGATGATAACGTGCACTTTGAACAGAAACTCTACATTTTAGGCCCACCTGGTTTTCATCACACTATTCAGGATTGTAATTCCCTTCCCAGTGGCTCAGAGCACTGCAGGAGAATATAAACTCTTAAGTGTTTCCTGTCTTTAAATGGCTTTCTGTAATTAGTCAAGGATGAGGTGCATGTGGGATAGCAACTATTTTCTTTCTTAAAAAGCTTGTGGTGATTTAATTACACATCAGTTTGCCCATTTAAGAATTTCCAACTAGTTCTCTAGTCCTGTCATCT